GGCTGGGATGCTGGGGTGGCACCACACGTGGTTTCAGGAGCCACTAATTGTCTCTATAGATGTATTTGTCCATATTAGTTTCTTGGTATGTCATTCTTCTCAAAATTCTACTTTGTTTATTCCTAGCACTCCCCCAGCTTACAACAGTGTTTGATTGGATACATTAGAAACTTACAACTACTCAAGTGTTTGTGCACAGTAACTAAAAACCAGGTTGTTAGTGAGGTGATGATAGGCAAATGGAGCTCCACACTGGCCACTGAGGACAGAGCTGACAATTTTTTAAAGCAAATGTTGAAGTCTGACATTGAATTAAAGTCTTTCTGAAAAGCAGTCTGCTATACATTCGGAGGATACTGGCCATTTCTGTTGGAGTTTGGCAGTCACGGTATCTGGATTTGGTAGTGTTTACTGGTAGCAGAGCCCTTCTCTGGCCCAGGCTGCCCTGATGTCATGCTTCTCCTGCTTCAGCTGGAATTACAGATGTGTGCTGCCGCCATACCAAGATTTGGCACTATTTAGGTCACTGGAGTAATGTCTATAGAAAGAATCCAGTATTTAAAGTTTCCACCTGGCTATACTAATGTAATGCCTTTCCTTCCCTGTCCTTCCCATCGATGCTTCAGGAATGGGTACCACCTTGCAGCTCTATGTGATGGAAGACACACTATAAACCTATGCTAACAAGGTTTCGAACTGCAAATCAGGTAAGAAATGTAAGTCATTAGTAATAATTACCAATTATTTGTAATAGGTCAGACACAGAACAATTAAGAGTCTTTGACTGTGTTAATGTATTCATTTGCCTCTGATTATAAAAGCTGATTTTATCGCAATTTCTCTGAAATAATAAACAGAAAAAACATTCATTTTTGTAAATGGGGTCTTGCTATGTTGCTTATGCTTGTATCTAATGCTTTCTCCCTCCACTTTCTGAGACATACATTATTGTGACTGGCCAAGAAAAAGAAGTTACAGAAAGAAACAAAATTCTGCTCTTTAACTTTTCCCTTCTGAGCATGGGGTTTACAAATAGAAGCTCACAGGCAAATCTGATCAACTTTTTTTAGTGGTCTACAGGTCAACAATCGGTCTAATGCTTTTATTTATTTATTTTAAAAAGGACGGAATGTCTGTGGCCCTTGTGCAGGGCCATGCTCATCTCTATGTTGTTCCAACTTCAGGGTATGTGCTGCTGAAGAGCACATGTCGAATGTTTTTAAAGCATATAGTACAAGTATTTACATGGAATTTTCAAATTTGTTGTTTAGCCTACAAAGTCTAAAACATTTACCATTAAAACAAAGTATGCCAACTCCTGGTATAAATTTTAAAAATATTTAACTAAATATATAATTAAAAAAAGTTTAGAAATGAATTGCCTAGAACTCAAAGACCTAGACTATGTTTTCTAAATAAGTGTAGAAGTTTTAAGATCAAATCTATTCAAATTTTAACACTCATTATAAATTCATACTGAAAGCAATTATCTGAATTTTACAAAACACACATCAAATTAAGCAAATAAAACCTTGTCTGATATTAAAGATAAACATTTCATTAGTGTGAAACCACTTCTCAAAATTCCCTATTATGTTTACTTATTGCTATCAGATTATAAGCTAAAACCATAACCAGCTGAAATTCAAGATAAACACTGATCTCAACACATGCAATTCCTGAAAACCTGTTGAATGATTTTCTTCCAGATATTATTTCAGAATATTCCCAAGGGTCTTTTTTGCTTGATGTGTTTTATTTAAAAACACTAAAACCAACAATTACACATCACCACCACTTTGGCAAGGCAGTCTGTGAGTGATGTGCTGCCACAGTTCTTCCAAGGGGCCAATAAAATGGAAACTCACAAGACTCTGTGTGGCTCTAATATGTATCTTGAGCTGTGTGTGCAGCTCAGTTGTAGTGTGCTTGCCTAGCAAATGTTGGGCCTTGGGTTGCGTTCCTAGCACTAAAAGCAAAAGCTATCTTCTCATTTTCAAGAATGGGAAGGGGTTTGATTGAGCTTAGTATAGTGCATTCAGTAGATACCCGAATGGCTGGTTAATACGTTCTTCCAAATTACAGTGAAAATACCAGCACCTCATAGGACTTGATTTTAACTGTACTAAGTCTCTGTTTAGAATAGCTGTGTCTGCCCACTCCCTCATGCACTAGGTCACAGGCCTACTTTACCCAGCAGTTTTAACTCCTGGGCACCAGTCAGGGTTGTTAGCTTCTACACTTCTACAGAACTTACAGGAGTGGAGTTTGCAGAAATACAGAAATTCAGGTACCCAAACTTAGGTAGAATAGAATGAAAGGATGGTAAGAGGAGTCTTTTCTAATAACTGCCTTTTAAGTGCAGATCTACAGACAGCAACAGTTCCAGGAAAATGGAACCAGAAGAACAAAAGCTGAGAAAAGAATAGAATTAAGCTTGTTCAAGGAGCCAGACACTGGTTGGCTCACGCCTGTAATCCTAGCTACTCAGGAAGCTGAGATCTGAGGATCCCAGTTCAAAGCCAGCCAAGGTAGTAAAGTCCATGAGACTTTTTATCTCCAATTAACCACCAGAAAATGGAAGTGGAGCTGTGGCACACTGAAAAGGAGAGAAGCATAAAAAAGATGAACAGACTGGGTCACCAATGGCTGACACCTATAATCTACTTACTCACGAGGTTGAGACCTGAAGATCATTGTTTCAAGCCAGCCTTAGAGCACACAAATCTATAATACTCTTATTCCTAGTTAACAAGACATAAGCCAGAACTAGAGGCATGAATCATATGGTAGAATGCAAGCCATGAGTGAAAGCATAAGGCCTTGAGTTCAAGCTTTAGTACCGGTGCAAAAAAAAAAAAATAGTGGAGACAGGACCTTGTAGAAACTAAGATGCTTCTTAAAACCAGCGATAAAGCCTTTTATACATTTGGAAATAATCAAAACAAGAAATGACTACATGGGACTGCATGAAATTAAGAAGGAAGTCTAGAGTTAGAAAAAGTGAGGGACTAGGAATGAGGCCCATATAGAAAAGGCAAGACAGGAAAGAGAAGTGCCAAGTATGTGTCTGTTAGGGCGTTACAAGTAAAATGCCACTAAGGCTGAGTAAGAAGACAGATCAGATTTGGCAACATAAATGAGTAGTGGTTTTGACAAAAGTGATTTCAATGAAATAGAGGCATGAATCTGGAGCAAGGAAAATAAAAAGCCATGGGAAGAGATTGCCATTAACAAGAGAATAATAGGTTAATATATAAACTCTCCACAAAGGTGACTTAAGAATTACATGGGAAGGGCAGCAGCTAGTGGAGAGATGGATGTCAAGGGAGGGTCTTATTTACTCATTCCACAAACATAGGCTATAGATAGCAAGAGAAAAGTCAGTGCTAATAACATTCAGAATTCTAGGATTGTCCAGCTAGAAGTATATCTACCATTGGAACAAGAGACTAATCAGAAACTTGTGCTGATGAAGATAACATGTTCAATTTTAGGGTAAAGATGAGGAAATTATAGGATACGACTATCCAATGAAAGGTGATGAATTGAGAAAAAATAACCTGTATGGAATAATACTCTGGACAGTTAGTAAACCTGTTAAATATGGCTGCATAAGGACTATTAATCAATTCTGTGTGCCATTTGGAATGTGTTGCCATAAAAGTTAAAGCTTGATTGTATGAATTTTCTCCAGCAGGGTGAAGCTATGAATTTTTGGGTAAGATTAACAGAGGAGAAAAGGTAAGAAAAATTATTTTGGACTATAACATCTAGACTACATAAGGAATAAAGGTCACACAAGAAAGGTCAAAGGGAAAGATGGTAGAATTAATGGTCTGAGAATATTCTAGAGAGCAAGTTACAAAGACAGAAAGGATACAGTAATAAGAGTGTTAGAAGGAAGATTAGGTTCAGAGTTTTGTTGATGACAGTTACAGCAGACAACTTCTAAGGGTAGGTGCAAGTGTGAACTGGGTGGATGGGTGTTGTGTAGTGGAGTGTGTGAGGAAGTGTGAATTGGGTGGATGGGATGTGAGTGGAGTGTGTGAGGAAGTACGAGAGAGGAGGTTACGTTTGGCTGAGGATCAGCGAAATAAGTAATTCATGCATGACACAACTAGTTCTAAAGTCTCATGAGGCAACATGAATAGCAACTTGAATAGTAGTTAATATTAAAGAAGAGCTGTTACTCTTTCTTGAAATAGAAATTCCAATACCCTACTAATAAATTTTAAGATCTTAAATAATACTAATAATTGAATGAGCAAAGATAAGAAAGTTACACCTCACCCTCTTCTGCGACAGTTCTGGGGCTCAGACAGAGTCTTGAGCTCAGCTTTCTTCCTCATGGCTGTCACCTTACTCCTTGAGACACTCCTTCAATTAGGCTTTTTGCTGGTCAATTGATGGTAGAGTCTCCCAGATTTTTCTGCTCCTGCTGGCTTCAAACTGATATCCTCCAGGCTGGGCGCTGGGAGCTCACGCCTGTAATCCTAGCTACTCAGGAGGCTGAGATTTGAGTATCATGGCTCAAAGCCAGCCTGGGCAGCAAAGTCTGTGAGACTTTTATCTCCAGTAAACCACCAGATAACCACAAGTGGTGTTGTAGCTTAAGTGTTAGAGCCCTTGCCTTGAGCTGAAGAGCTGAGAGACAGCACCCAGGCCCAGAGTTCAAGCCCCACGACGATGACCACCACCAAAAAAAAAAAAAAAAAACCACCAAAAAACCCCCAATACCCTCCAGATCTCAGCCTCCTAACTATTTAAGATTACAAGCATGAGCCACTCAGCTTGTGTTTTCCTTCTTACCTTAAGTAAGATGCTACTTCACCACTATATTTAAGTACTGATTATTATTATTCAGATAGTCTGCTGCCATTATAGATAGGCAAGGGACTACTCAGTATTATACTTACTTCAGGTATCTAAATGGAGAAAGACATTTGGTTTGATTGGCTGTTCATAAAACAGGAAGATAAACAACTTTATCATATATATCCAAATGAAATAAACATTTTATTACATATTATAGCAAGTGAAACATGCATTCATTTTGATAAAAGTAATGTATCAAAATATTACAATAACTATTAGAGTATTTGCCAAACAGCCTGCTACACTGAATTGAAATATTTAGGAAACATAGTTACAACTGTAGGAAATTTAGTGCATTCTAATACATTGAAATAAAAATACGTAAACGTACCTGCTAACAGTATGCTGAAACTATTGATATAACATCTAGATAAACATTTTAAATCAGGACTTTTCTAACCCTTCTATTTTTATAACTTGTATAGTGTGAACTATTTTACACATCTTAATATAGCTTTTAATCTAAAACTACTAACTGTTCAGAATACATAAATGCATTAAGAATACATTTTATGTGATACATTTTATTGAACTAGTTTGATGAGTATTGTTAGCTAATATAACTATTACAAAAATAATCCAATTCCTTGTATTGTTTTCCTAAAACATCCCCTTTCTACAAAAGAAAAAAAAAGAGCAGCATTGAGTAGACAAACATCTTTTGGGTTTGAAGTCATGTTCAGCAGTTTTTTTCACTTATAAGATAGGCGTTTCTTTTATTTTGGTGCACATTTCCTATAAATGTGTACTTTCTTGGGTGCTGTCTACTTTACTTTGAAGTTATACACAAAAATAATAATTAGATAAAACATTAGCAACTAGATTTTACACATTATTATTTCTCCCATGAGCCAAGAATAATGACATCAGTCCTTTACGTATATTGTGAAGTTCCTCTTCTTGCTATGACCAAGAAAAAAAAAAGATACTTAGATTTTCATTATCACTGTACAAGCACCATATAAAATAGACAATATATCAGCCTTTCATAGGAATTAATTTTAAAATAATCCCTTTTATAGATTCAAGATAATAGCTGGGCTGGGAAGGTGGCTCAGTGTAGAGTGCTTGCCTTGCATGCATGAGGCCCTGGGTTCAATTCCTCAGCATCACATAAGCAGAAAAAGCCAAAAGTGGCACTGTGGCTCAAGTGGTAAAGTACTAGCCTTGAGCTGAAGAGCTGAGGGACAGTACCCAGGCCCAGAGTTCAGGCTCCATGACCGACAAAAAAATTTTTTAAAAAGATAATTGCTGAATGAGGTCTTGCCATCTTTTAAATCACCACATCAAAGAAATTTATTTTTGAGGGAACAAAGTAAAACAAAAATAGTCTGAAAAAGTTTCAGTAAAGTCAATGTAGTCTAGTGGCTAGCTTCTTGTTTGCTTCAAGCTAGGCAAATTTAGCCACAACATCCTCGTGTACTACCATTCTACTACGCTGAGATTCTAGCAAAATTTTCTAAGAATATTCATATACCTTCCAGACAAGTATTAGGGCCAAAGTGTGCTTAAAAATGCTTCCCATATTTAAGAAAAGTTCTTTAAGCATGCTCAGGTAGAGGAGCATGGTTAGTGTTTCTCAGTGTACTTTACCCTCAGAAAGCAGCTGATAGTAGATGAGACCTTCAAAAAGTGAACTTAATTTATCTAAGTAAGTGAAGTCTTGTTTTCCAAGTGGATAATTCTATTGAGCTTTTCCAGGTAGCCTTGCCACATGATTTAGAGCACAATGTTTGGAAATGGTGCAAATAAGTTGCTCCTAAAGCTAGTCTGTTGTTTTTGGTTTGGGGGGTTGCTTTTTTTAGTTTTGGGGTTTGGGGGTTTTTGTTTATTTGTTTTTGGTCAGTCGTGAGGCTCGAACTCAGAGCCTGGGCGCTGTCCCTGAGATTTTCACTAGTCTAGTGCTCCACCACTTTGAGCCACAGTGCCACTGTCCATTTTCTGGTGGTTAATTGGAGATAAGAGTCTCATGGACGTTCCTGCCCGTGCTGGCTTTAAACTGTGATCCTCAGATCTCAGTCTCCTGAGTAGCTATGATTACAATTATAAGTGTGAGCCACAGCTTAATCCTTTTTTATGTTTGTAAACTTATGTTATTTACCTTAGGATAGATGACTTATTTAAATTACTTCATTCTTTTACTATATTTAGCATCATATTATTTAAAGAACTAAAACACATAAGGCTAAACCTGCCTTCTCCTAACCCAAAAAGAAAAAGAAGAAAAGCCTTTGAAGGAATTTCTCATAAAACATACAAAAGTAGTCAGACATTGGTAGTGTATGCCTGTAATCTCAGCACTTGGGAGGCTGCGGAAGGAGAGTGATAGGTGCAAGGCCAGCCAAGGTTACTCGGTGAGACACCACAAAAAAAAAAAAAAAAGATACAAAAGCCACCAAAATTAGCTGACTTACCATTTGTTTAAGAAGTTTGTCCTGTAGTATTTTCATGTTTTCTTTCATTGAAGACATCTGAAAATAAGCATATTCCCCCGTGAAATTGGCAAAACTTTCACCGCAAAAGAAAACAAGTTAGAATCACTTGTTAAGATTCTGTAAGTATACAGAATTCATACCTGAGATGAAAATACAGATTCTTCAAAATCATTGTTGCCAAAGACATTTTTATTCAATGCAGTTTCCAAATGACGAAGCCTAACAGGGAAGCAAATGAGAGCCACTTTCATATTGATCAAGAGCTCTAATTGAATTGCTACAGTATAGCAAATGAGAGCTACTTTCATATTGATCAGGAGCTCTAATTGAATTGCTACAGTATAGCATTTGCGATTTTTTTCAGATGTAAACTTATTAGTGATTTTTAAATATTTTTGTAGATTCGAATCCTGAAGGGAATACCAACCTCTGCTGTTCGTTTTTCTGATATACATTGAGTTTCTGAAGTGCTCTTTCCCAAAAGTCCTAAAATTCAAGATACAAACACTAGTTGTACTTTACTATTCCAAATGGTCTTTCTGAGGGGGAGGGGCAGTACGGGGGGGGGGGGGGGGGAGGGTTGAACTCAGGACCTCACTTTTCCTAAAGCAGGTACTCTAATTTTGAGCCATAATTCCCATTCCTTCCTTGCTTTATTTTTCTGGATTGTGACTTACATTCTTGCCTGGGGTCACCCTATACCTATTTCTCCTTTACAATTAAAGTGACAAGTGTACACCATCATGCCAAACTTGTTGGTTGATATGGACTCTCTCTAATTTTTGCTCAGACTGGCTTTGAACTATGCCTCCGAAGAGCTGAGATTATAGGTGTGAACCACCCACATCTCCTGGCTACTAGTCCTGACTTAAACAATTTGAATATATGTTACTTATATTTATATGTTAAATGTATGTATATTTAAAATTGGGAATAAAAATCTCAATTTCTCCCATATTATAAAAAGGTTCACCATAAACTTGTAATTCATTGTTTATATGAAGCTGATTTTAAAAATAAAATTAAGATAAAATTGTGTTCAAAAGAATGAGAAGTGGCTAGATGTCTGGGTATAGTGGCTTATGTGTGTGATCCCTGCCATTTGGGAGGTGATATCTGGAGAGCTATAGATTAAAAACAGTCTGGCACAGAGTTGGTAAAACACAGTTTTGACCAATAACTGGGCCTGGTAGCACGTGCTTCTCATCCCATCAGTGTAGGAAGCATAAGCAGGAGGATCACAGTCCAAGCTACACATGACACAAACCACAAAGACCTATTTGAAAAATAAAACAAAAGGAGTTATGAGTATGGCTCAAGCAGTAGAGCGCCTGCCTACCAATTGTGAGGCAGTGGGTTCCAACCCCAATACTTACAAAAACAAACAAGCAAAAAAAATGGAGCAGAAATCTTTAGGATATTCCCTCAAAACAAAAAGTAAATGAAAGTTTTTAGAAGTAAATACTGAGTTGTTTAATAGAATATAAATAGAATATAAATATAAATAATAGAATATACTGAGTTTTTAATAGAATATAAATTCTTAAAAGACAAACCACAAATTCCTTCTCTAAATCCTTTAAAGACTGTGAATCTTTTTCAAAATTCTCCAGCTCTTCTGTGATGATGAATTTGAATTTATCAAGTTTTTTAATTCTGTCAAAGAAACAAAGTAAGATTTACAACTGCAACATTCAGAACATGCATTCATAATTTATGAATGTACATCATTCAGAGGTTATCAGAATAGATTTTCATTACAAACCTATTCTCCTGAATTTGATGGTTCATTGTTTTCAGATGTTGTTGAGCTGTTTTCCAAGACTGCATAGTATAATACTCTATTATTTTATTTCGCGCCTGAAAAAGAATCATTTTAAAATTAAATAACTTTACAAAATAACATTCTAAACAAGAGCATATTTGAGTAAAGCTTTTCCATGACATGTGAATGGCTAAGAACTTGGGAAAATAGTCTTAAAAATTCCAACTCCTAAGTCTCTTTTTTTAAAATTTTAACTAAAGATAATAAGAGAAATATTTTAAACTCAGTTATTTAACATTAAGTTTTTTTTGGTTGACAGTTTATTAAATACACTACATTTGTAGCTTATTCTGTACTTTTTATTGTTCACACGTGGACTTGGTAAAAATGTACTTTATAGAAAATTATCTGCAAAACTAAAATGAAAATAAGAACACATACTGCACAGATAAACTGCTGAATTATTAGGAATTCTTTTAATATGTACAGGTGATCATGTAGTAGTGGGTCATTTTTGTTAAGACAGGAACTAGACCATGACTTGTAGCATGTTAATGCTGAAATGTGAATGCAACCATGTCTGTTAACAAGACTACTGCTCAATAGTATCTAAGGAAGAGGACAGTCATTGTTTTGCTTTCACAGAGTTTTCTAAGTCCATTCTGTATGCACTCTCTGCCTCTTACAGAATGAGTTGTATAGAATAATGAAGCAAAAAAATCAATTTCTTTTTTTTAAAAAAGAAAACAAACTAGAGCCTATTTACAAAACATGCAAAAGGAGAATTTCACGCCGGTGTCTCTGCAGAACTGGTCTAAAGTGAATACAGTTGAGTAACAGTATACACCTTTACTTCTACAAATTATAGGAACATGAAGTTTTAATAAGTTCAGTTGGGGCAGTGTCTAATTCTGTTGATTAAGGCTTTAATTGTGGGTTGATTAAAGTTGCTAATTATTTTCATAAGAACGCCACAGCCTACAGTATTAACAAAAACTGCTAGTGGTTCTGATTCTTTATGATAGCACAGCCAAAAATACATGGAACATTCTTAACATTTTTTCAAAAAGCATGCATTTACATCTAATCACAGGCAAGTGTTACAGAACATACATATCATGTATTCTCTATTTAGACCATATTGACCTGAAGCAAATAAGGTGAAAACAAACTAAATGTCAAGAATTTTAGCTAATTTCAGATTTTACCCTTAAATAGAAGAAAAAGGCAAAGCAAGACATGGGCTAAAAACATGTGCTGAAATATATGTTCAAAGAAAAGCATAAAAGAACTATCAATTCCAAATACAGGTGAATGAGAGAAAAATATAGGTGAGAAAACATTACTACTGATTAAAAATTGTTTTAAAAACATAAATCATCTCATTGGAGCCCCCCAACCAGTGACACTTATGTACTGAGCTGGCAGACCAAAGCTGGGAGTATAAAATGCTGTGCCACACTACCATCACTAATAGTCACCCCTCTGTGAAACACAAACATGACTCATAAGACAGGGTTATGCATGGAATCCTAGCTACTCAGGAAGTAGTGGCAGAGAAGACCATTCTTTGAGGCCAAGCATGGCAAAGAGTCCCAGAGACCTTGTCTCAGTAAATTCCTTGGCATGGTGGGGAATACCCGTCATTCTAGTATAGTGGTAAGGATACAGTAAGAATATCTCAGTCTAGACACACCCTGATAAACTACAGAAAAAATAAAAAAGGCTAGAGGTGTGGATTAAGCAGCCTACCAAGCATGATGCCCTAAGTTCAAACCCTAGTATGGTCCCAAGAAAGTCTTAAGAAGAGAAGCATGAAGAGAAAATTGTTCAGAAAAATCATAGAAAAGCAAAAATATAAAACTGAAAGGGAAAACGGGGTAAAAGAGAAAGAATTAGTAGAGTAAGAATATGAATAACAGATTTGAGGTGTGAGAAAAACTCAAGGTTGTGTTTTTGTTTTTGTTTTTTTTGTCAGTCATGGGGCCTGAACTCTGGGCCTGGGTGCTGTCCCTCAGCTCTTCAGCTCAAGGCTAGCACTCTACCACTTGAGCCACAGTGCCACTTCTGGCTTTTTTTTTCTGCTTATGTGATGCTGAGGAATCGAACCCAGGGCCTCAGGCATGCAAGGCAAGCCCTCTACCACTGAGCTGCCTTCCCAGCCCCAATTTTTTAACCTGATAATTTTTCCAGTTTTTCACATATATAGAAAAATTGAATCATAAATGGGTGTGTTCTGTTGCCCAAGGAACAACCAACCAACAGTCTGACAGGAAAATGTGGCATATTACATGGAGTATAGATAATAAGTACTGAGAACTTACATCAAGCTTCCTCTTAAATTCAGAGTTGATCTTCTCACAGAGCACCCCCACACCTGATGATAGGTCACTGCCCCAGTTTTCCTCAGAAATGGAAATATCCTTTGGTGATAATGGAGATATACTTTGAGACACTAAAAGGTGAAAACAATCAGGTACAGTTAAAATCTACATTATTTCAAAGTTAGCCTTGTCATTAGGTAAAATCATCTTTCTTATTTCTGATTCTATGTACAATCTAAGAATTATGAAATCAAAAGCAGACCCATGTTTAAATGTAAAACAATGCATATTTATTTTAAAAAACCTTTCAGATGGCAACTACTAATGTAGATATGGCGAGTTTAAGGGAGCATTTAGGGATTATATTTTAACTGCTTTAAATGACTTCCACGTTATGAACATGAGCTCCAAGAAGCTCATACTCTAGCAACACTAAAATATAGCATGAAGGGACTGGATGGTGAGGAAGCTTACTGAGTATATAAGACAGTTACTACAGCATTAGTCATCATAAGTGAAATTTGTGGTACAAAATCATCTGTCTTGGACTTAACCGGCTTTCTTTACAAAACATTGCATTTTGACATAAGCTTTTGATCTACTCACATTTATAGGTGTGATTATCTGCATCTTCCATTTTACATAGTCTTTTGGAAGGCAAGTGTGCTCTCCTTTCTTCTGCTTCTTCTGTCTCTAGTTCAGAATTACTTACATTATCTTCTATGATCATTCGTTTGAAACTAAGATGCTGAGTGGGGCCTGAGGAACAGTTAAAAATAAATAATAGTGTTACAATTTTGACTAAAAATGCCTAATATTTCATTGCTTTTATTAACAAACCTTTAAGTTATTTCTACTGTTTTAAACAACTGTGTGTTCATTTTTTACATTAGCTAAATTGAGAAATGGTATAACTTACATATATAATTCATTTAGGTGATATTTTAGAATATTATTTAAGTAATTAGTAACTTGTTTAAAAGCAAAGCTGTGACCACAAACCTGATCTATGAGTAGTATTGCTGAGTGTGTCAAATACTAGTTTCTGTCTTTCTTCATTAGATAAGGACATTGAAGATACTGAACTGTTTTCCTAAAATACATAATGAAAATTAGAAAAAGGTACTATAAGTCTGCATGGATTCATCTGGGACCATCATTCTCAAACTCAGAATATTTCAAATACTGTCAGTTCCTTTTCAGACTGTTTTGCTTCTATCCTTTCTTTTTTATCTTGAACACTATCTTTAGTTGTTAGATTAATGTTAATCCTATGATGGTAATTTTGAGCTGCCTTATTTGACTAAGTTTGCTATTCAGCTTGTCTTTGTTAAGGTTATTGTTTCCATATTTGAGTTAGGAAATACAGGGCATAGAAAATTAATTTTAAATTATTTCCTTTTAATCAAAATCTTCATATTTAACCCTCTATTTTCCTGTCAGAATGCATAGTCTTTTTCTGTACTTATTAACCTTCTTTTCTCTACTTAATCTGTATATTCTAGTCCATCTACTTAGGCCTACCACAAATCCAGTCCACTCTAACCATAAAATTCTGTCTTGATCTTCTGAATTTTAAAGGTTATTAGATATTTTTGTTGATAGACTGATGGACTTTTATGGTAGCAAGAAACTCAACCAGACTGCTATATGATCATGAACCCTAGTTATTGATCTGTAAATCAGGGGTTAGCAGCTGTGTATTCTCTAAGACCTTAGCGTTTTCACTTTAAGTGTGAATTTTTTCCTCTCAAGAACAAAAATTTTTCTCTGGTAAGTCCAGTGTATATACTTTATGCATCAGTAAAGACTAGTAATTTGATTCTTTCAAGAATCATTTTAAAAAAACTTTAAAAATAATAGTATATTACCTCTCTTGTATTTTGCATATGGTTTCCAATGATAGTTGGAGATTCAATTTCTACAAGATGTTTTTCAGAACTATTACTCCTTGCATCTGAATCACTATTACAATTTTGTGTTTCTTGTGTGAGCTCCACAGAATTTATATTTTTTCTATCCATAACAGTATTATTCTTAGATGGAGTATGCCTGGGCTACGAATGAGTGAGACATACAGAAACCCAAAGGAAGGTAAGATAACTTTAAAGCAAAAGAAAATGTTAGATATAGAAGAGGTAACATTACATTACTTAAATTTGAAGGGATTAATTCAATGCTAAATTCACATTTCATATAGTTTTTTTAAACTATCAGATAAATAGAACATTAGTGTAATGAAAAGAATGTACTAAAAACCATGGATGAAGAAACCTGCTTGCTCAAAAATAAAAGATATATTAAGGGAGAGGGAAAAACTGGTCTAGGTGCAAGGCACACTTGAAAGTTTTATGTTGGGTTGTATTTTCTTTGTATATTATAAGTATTTATTTATACTTGTTGCAGTTTAAAGTATATTTCCAAAATGTATGCTCAACAATAATCATTAAAATGTTTGCAGCATAAATAAAAGCCTACTGGTATATTATGCCTCAGTGGTCTTGTCACCTTAACTAGACAAAAAATATGAAGAACCAGAATCAGAAGAGAAAATGCAAAAGTTACCATGAGTAGCAGCCTATATGAATTTCCATATTAAAATTTTAAGAGAATCTGAATACGCAATTATGATAGAATTCCACGAGATAGATACAAGAAAAATTTTTTCTATACAAAAGTAAAAGTGTGTGTGTGTGTGTGTGTGTGTGTGTGTGTGTGTGTGTGTGTGTGTGTGTATGTGTGTGTGTGTGTGTGTGTGTGTGTGTGTGTGTGTGTGTGTGTGTGTGTGTGTGTGTGTGTGTCAGTCATCCCAGCTATGTGAAAAGCATAAATAGGACTGGGACTCAGGCAAAAAGTAAGACTCTATTAAAAAAATAATGAAAGCAAAAAGAGCTGAAAATGTGGGTCAAATCTTCCTAGCAAGCATGAGGCCCTGAGTTCAAACCCTGATAGTACACAAACAAAGAGAAAACTACCTGTGAAGATTACTGATTTAAAAATGGCTATAACCCTGGCTGAGACCTGGAGAGCTGGTTCAGGCAGGCCAGGCACAAAAGTTTGCTGGACTCCATCTGCAAACTAGCCACAAAATGCAAGGTTGGAAGGGTGACTCAAGTGTGGAGTGCCAGCCAAGCAAGTAAGGTGGGCAAACATGAGGCTCTGAGTTCAAATCCCAGTATAACCCCAAAACAAAACAGAAAAGGAACTTTTAGCCCTCTACATATAGAAAATACACTCAGTTAAAAGTGACAGGATAGAGCCAGGTGCTGGTAGCTCACACCTCTAATCCTAGCTTCTCAGGAAGCAGAGATCTGAGGAACATGGTTCAAAGCCAGCCCAGACAGGAAAGTCCGTGAGACTCTTACCTACAATTAATCATTGAAAGGCTAAAAGTGGAGCTGTCACTCAAGGAGTAGAGCACTAACCTTGAACAAAAGGATCAGAGACAATACCCAGATCTAAGCTTAAGCCCCAGGACTGGCACATACAAAAAAAAAACGTGACAGGACAACCAGGCATGGTGGCTCATGCCTATTATCCTAGCCACAGCACAGGACAAATGGTTGGCTGTGTATCAGCAATTTTAGACCTCTGCTACAATTGTGTTGAACAGTTACTTTTATAAGAATCCCTTTCTTCCCAGTGCTTTTCTAGTGCTGGATATTGAAACCAGCTCTTCATGCATGCTAAAAAGCAGTTTGCCACCTCTCAGCTATACTGCCAAGCTCTGAACATTTTGTATGAAAAGTGAGATACATATTAAAAGGAAAACATTTTATTTACTTTCAAGGTTCAGCCTATTTAATTTGCATTGCCCCATGGTACAGATGAGAAAACTGAAATATAACGAGCTTCAGGAACTTGTAAAGTGTCATATCACTAGCAAATAGTGGAACCAGGATTTAAATCCAGTTCAGTGTGACTCAAAACTCAGCCATACCCAGTTACAGTGCACAACGTGAGAATCCTTGTAATCAGTTCTACTATCATTTTATCATGACTTCAAAGTTTTCAAAATTAAGATGTATTATAAAAACCAGATCAGGCCAAATGGGGTGTTGGTGAGAAGATCTGTCCCCTAGACCAAACCAAAAACTTTTTAAGTAGACAAGCAATGAATACTTAAGAGTGTAGTGTATGTGTGTGCACGCGAGTGCGCGCACAGGCACACTATTCTTAAGCCTTGAACTTAAGGCCAAGGCACTGTCCTTGAGCTTTTCTGCTCAAGGCTAGCACTCTACCACTGGAGACATAACTCTACTTCTGGCTTTTTAGTCATTATTGGAGATAAGAGTCTCATAAACTTTCCTGCCTAAGCTGGCTTTGGACCACAATCCTAAAATCTCAGCCTCCTGAGTAGCTAGGATTGCAGAACTGAGCCACTGGCACCTGGCTTTGGTTAAAATTTCAAGGCAAGTTATTTACCACTTTCAAGTACATTTGATGAAAATACATTCTTACCAAAAAGAGGGGTCCTGCTGGTGGTGAGCACCTTTCACTTGCACTTAGGGAGTCTGTCTTGTTTGGGCTCGGTGAGTTTCCTAAACCTCCAACATCACTAAAGCTATTTAAGGATTCAGGTGATGAAATTTTTGGATAAGGTGATTTTGTTATGCTATCATAATCTTGAGTAAAATCCTTTTCTGTTGTTTTTTCTTTACCTGTATTGCCCCACAAAACAAATTGATATTAAATACTTTTTAAAGAACTTGGGTTATTTAAATTCTAAGAATACAATAATTTCCCAAATCTCAACTATATTTTTAAAAAGATACATCTTCAATAATTTAGGAACAAATTGCATTTAAAATATTTTCTAAGGCTTTGAAAAATATTGCTGAATTTAAAATTTCAGAATTCCCCTAAACAATTTCAAACAAAATATCTACAATATGTGGTGACATATCATTATATCAAAATATTAACCTGAGGGACACATAATAAGCAATGTTTTTTAAAGCTATAGTATTTGCTGGTCTAAAACTTATCAAAATTAGGACACTTAACTTCTAAAATAAGTTAATATAAATGAATTCCCAGAGAGACAGTTTCTAGACGGAATCCATTTCTCTAAAGTAGCAATAGTTCCAAGCACAGTGAAAACAAAATGATCCACCAGCTACTTTAGGGGAAGATTAAGTATATTATTACTCAAATCTTGACTTTTAACTGAAATGATTAGTAATAAAATAGCCTCATAAGAAACTAAAATGACATAAAACTACAAACTCATAGTTTTCTGTATGAAAAAGACATACATATACCAGAGCTCCAAAGAATATAAATTTTCAGTGCCAGTCATTTAAAAATAAAAGCAAAACCTCTTTGTTTATGGATATTATTTACTATAAGGCTACAGAATGATCATCATATTCCTTGGACATATTTTACTAAATTATAAAAAATAGAAAACATCATAATCCTTATTTTGATAAATACATGTTGAGCTAAAAGCACATTAAAATTAAGCTTAATTAAACTTCTACATATAACAAATTGCCAGGGTGCTGGTGGTCACACCTGTAATCCTAGCTACTCAGGAAGTTAAGATCTAAGGATCATGATACAAAGCCAACCCTGGACAAGAAAGTCCAGGAGACTCTTATTTCCATTTAACTACCAAAAAAGCCCAAAGTGGAACTGTGACTCAAGTGTTGGAGTTCAAGCCTTGAGCAGAAAAGTTCAGGTACAGTGCCAAGACCCTAAGTTCAAGCCCAAAATGGGCACCAAAAATAAAAATAAAGCCTTATAAATATATATTAAATGTTTCCTATATTGAAGCATTTGATTCTGACTTCCTAAGATAAAAATTCAAATTCGGGGCTGGGAAGGTGGCTCAGTGGTAGAGTGCTTGCCTCTCAGGCATGAGGCCCTGACTTCAATTCTTCAGCACCACATAAACAGAAAAGCCGGAAGTGGCACTGTGGCTCAAGTGGTAGAATCTAGCCTTGAGCTGAAGAGCTCAGGGACAGCGCCCAGGCCTAGAGTTCAACCCCCAGGACCGATCAAAAAACAAAAAAACCCCAAAAAACAAAAAACCTTCAAATTCTACATATTAGCCAAATTCTCATATTAGCCAATAAATTCCTATTATTAACTTGTTTAAAAAGGATTGTTATTTTTGGCACTACTGGGGTTTGAACTTAGGATCCTGTGCTTGCTAATCAGGAAGTCTTCCACTTAAGCCAGGCCCCTTTTCCTTTTTTTGGTTTGTTATTTTTCAAGTAATGTCTTGTATTTTTTGCTTGGGCCAGTAATAGACCATAACCCTACTAGTTTTCTATGTAACTGTGATCACAGGTGTGTGCCATCATGCCTAGAGAAATAGTTTTAACTCAGTTTTTCCCCTTTGGTGGTAGGGCTTGAGCTCAAAGTCTTCTGTTTGCTGGTAATCACTCTACTACTTGAGCGCTACCCATTGACATTTTATTTTAGTTTGCTTTTCAGATAGGTTCTCCCATTTTTTTCCAGGCTGGCCTTGGACTGTGATCTCCTAGTTTTTCCTGCCGAATAGCTGGAATTACAGGTATATGCCATAATACCTGGCTAACGACCTATACTCTTAAATAAATCCTTCAAGTTAGTCTTCAGATTATATTTTTATATACTTGGTTGTAGCAGAAAACTATTGACTATTCAAAGAAAATGGAAGGAAAATGAAATGATACTGACATCTCATTAACTCTATAGATGATGGACTCCCAGATAATGATACAGGAGAAAAGTCCCGGCTATTATCTCTCAGGGTGTCTTTTTGTAGAGATGAGTTTTTCCTTCTTTTTGATGGTCCTTTTTGTGTTTCAGCAGATAAGACTTTCTGTTGTTTCTTTGGTAGTTTTGTGGTTTTGGTTCTGGAATGGATATTCTCCTCCTAAATGTATTAATAACTTTCCAATTATACATGACTATAAACATTTGTGAACACATAAAACACTGTATTGATATATGCATACATATATATACATATGCAGTCTTATAATAATTATTACATAGATATGACATTAGTGACAATGTATCAGGAAGATACAATACATAAAATATACTAAACAGCATAAGAAACAAAATACTGTAAGCGTTCAAAGATGGTGATTATATTCAGTTTAGAGGAAAAGGAATTCCTGGATTTCATGGCACTTGAGATACTGAGGAGTTTATGAAAGAACATGCTAGAAGAAGATACAGTAAGAACAAGGAAGGCTGCTGATCAAAGCAGCCTACATCTTATCTGAAAGTCTTACGATTATGGGAATATACTGGGGGTGAACAGAAATGAGCTTGAAAAACTTTATTATTTGAATATCTGACAAGATATTTCTGGAGATTTTATTTGAGGAAAGAGGATGAGAGTAGTGTAGAAAAGACTTCCTTAACTACATGTAAATTAAAGTAAAAAGTGATAAAAATGTAGAGGTCAGTTATGAAGTCCTTAAAATCCTTTCCATAAAAAATAACACGGTTACAAACAAAGGGATATGGATGTTTAATATCTTAAAAGTCAATGGTGTAGTAGTCAGAGCCTTATGTTTAACACCAGACTCTCTGGGTTCAAGTTCGGTTCCTGGACCACTTTCCAGCTATATAATCTTGACTGGTTCCTTCTGTGGCACTTCAATTTTGCATTTGTAAAACGAGATGGCAGTAATAGCACTAATTACCAATACTCTATTATCAGATTCTAATAGATAAATTTATAAAGTGCTTAAATCTAACAACTGATGCATTGTGACAGTTTTTCCTTTTTCCTTTTGAGTAGTTTCAGACACAGATGGCTTGGAATATGATTGCCACCTTATGAGATATGAAATCACAGGTGGGGTGGTTTATGGAAATACACATTTTTGTGTGCCAGTCTTGAGGCTTGAACTCTGGGCTTGGGTGCTGTGCCTGAGCTTTTGTGCTCAAGGGTAGCACTCTACCACTTGAGTCACAGCTCCATTTCCACCTCATTTTTTGTGGTTAGTTGCAGATAAGAATCTAAGAGACTTTCCTGCCCAGGCTAGCTTTGAATCGTGATCCTCAGATTTTAGCCTCCTTAGTAGCTAGAATTATAGGTGTGAGCCACTGGCAACTGGCTATTTCCTGTCATTATTAAAAAGATTTGTGGCTTCCAAATTTGTTGTACTTTATTAAAACATAATTTTGGAAAAGTAAAGTACTTTTTTATTTAAAAAATATTTTAAAAGTTGTACTTTCACTTGAATTAGATTCTGTATTGTAGTGCTAATGCCAACTTATTGTAAAATAAGTATTATATTTCCTAAGAACCAAGTTTTAGAACTATTATAAAATGTTTTCTCATATAATAGGTTAAATCTCTTTTAAAGTGATAAATCTGTCACTTTTACAAAAATATGTATTTAGTATTTTAAGATGCTTTTAGAAATTACCACTAAATTCTGTTTACCTTTACTTGCAATTTTGAATGTGCATATTCTTCACTCTCTGATTCTGAATTTGAGAGATCTTTGTAATTTTTTTTTGTTTTTGCTGCTCTTCGTGGAAGTCTAGTTCTCCCATCTGGAACTGTTTCATTATTCTTTTTGGTGATGTTTTTATTTGGTTCCTTTAGGGGAAAAAAATCTTGAACATTATTAAGCAATATTTGAGATACAAGTAATATAAGCTATTTTTTTTGAGAACTGACACCACACAAGACATATATATATATGTATATTGTGTATGCATATATACATATCTATATATAAGGCAAGGACAGAATGATTCTTGATTATTTTAAAATCTATATGTGTATATTTATGCATATAAACACATTTACATACTATATGTAAACATTTTATATATATGTATGTTATATATTATATATACATAATGATATAAAATAAACATATATAAGTAAATAAACAGGGGGAGTGATGCAGTGTCTTATAGTTCAGGTAGCTTGGAGCTCACTTATTGTAGCACAGTCTGGCCTTGAATCTGGTGTTGAGTTTATAGGCATGAGCCATCATGCTTCTATAAAGGATATTTTATCTTTCCCTACCATTAAATCTTTAAACAGACCTGTATTATCTAACTTAAGTAAAGGAAAATATCAAAAATTTCTATAACCAACGTAACACTCAAAATAAGGCCAATATGACTCAACAAAACAAAAGTATTTTGCAAAGGTAGGAGAAATTCTAGAAAATACTAAGAATAACAAGATATTACACAATTAGTTTTAGATGACAAGAAAAATAACTTTAAAAGGGATGATTAAACATAGACTTCTTGATTTACCATTATAGATCTTGGCTGTCCCTTCTCCAAGGATGGCCCTACAATTCAGAAAAATAAGGGGGAAAATTCAAATAGATAAGAGCTGACACTAAATGTCTTAGACAATTTCTACAGATATAAGAACATTTAAAAGCATTTCCTTTATTAAAGCATATCTTAATATTTAATGAAACAACTTTTTATGTGCCTTCAAGCTACCCGGACACAGGCCCAGTTCACACCCCACTCAGCTGTTCTTATGACAAATGTGGCCCTTGGATTGACACGCTGTCTTGAGAGCTTTCCTTTCTACTATGGTAGCCACTAGATGGTACTGCATCAACGATGGGAAAGAATGCATCTTTACATGCATTCAAAAACTTGAACTTTAAAATAACTATAGTTTGGGATATGATATAAACTGCCATTTTCATTTTTTATACTATCAAACTTTTTAAACAAATAAAGCACATATAACCTAATATACCACTCAAGAGCTAGATTATGCATAATGTGGAACGTACTTCTTATATATGTTCTCTTTGTCCTCAGTATTCCCTCTGCTAAAAGATATTAACTGTTCTGAAATCTGTGCTTCTCATTGTCTTGCTTTATAAAACAAAGTTTTGCTGCACAGAAATGTCCTCTAAATGAGTGTCCCCTCATCCTATACAAGAATTTTATGGTTTGCTTTATTTTGCACACATCATTATGTTTCTAGGGTTTATCCATATGGTCCCACTTTCTGTTTTGCCTTTTAAGCATATTGTCATCTTTCTAAATAATTCTCTAGAAGTCAAAAATAAGATTATCCTAATAAAGAAATCAATGCTTACTTGGAAGAAAAGACCTTTGATACTGGCCATAAACAAGCTCATACATTGTTATCCAACCATTTAAACTAATTCACACAGTTCAATTATTATTTAAATTAGGTACTGATTATAGTCTTATAACCTCTTAATAAGTCCTTAAAACTTATAGTCTTAGCCCAGCACTGGTGGCTCATGCCTGTAATCTTAGCTACTCAGGAAGCTGAGATCTGAGGATCACGGTTCAAAGCCTGCCAGTGCAGGAAAATCCATGAGACTCTTATCTCCAATTAACCACCAGAAAACCAGAAGTGGCACTGTGGCTCAGTTGTAGAGCACTCTCCTTGAGCTGAAGAGCTGAGGGACAACACCTAGGCCTAGAGTTCAAAGCCCCATGACCAACAATTCAAAAAACAAACAAAAACCCTTCTAGTCTTCTATTTTACACTTTATTTTTATTTGTACATCTTTCCATTATGATTAAGTTCTTTGAAGACATGTCAGTGTTATGTCTCCTTAGCTTTAATCAACTTCAGCATCTACTCCATCATCACATCCAGCTTTACTTTATATTATTATTCCCACAAATATAAACAATATTCCAACTACTCCAATTCTTCATTTTCTGAATATACGGTGTCATTTCATACTTATCTCCCTTCATATAAAATTACCCTACTCAATTTTTTGTCTGTGTACCTGTTTGTAATCTAATCTGTTGGTAAAATTCATCCTCATCTCTAAAATATGCTCAAATTCACTTCTATTTTCACTTCTTTTAAGCCCACACTTACCCCCCACCACAGAGCATTACTGGTTATTTTTATCCCGAAATAAAAGCTGATAACCTTAAATAGAAAACATTGCCTTATTTTAAAAATTGAGTATATAAAATCTTACGTTTTACCAAACACTATCATTGATTTTTAGTTATGAAGAAAATTTCATTATCTAGCCCAAATCTGTACCTTAGGCCCTTACTCAACTACTTCAAGAAGTTACTATCACAAGAAAAGGTAGTAGCCAGATTCTAGGAAAATACCTTGTGGAAGACTTAGGCAAAAATCTACAAGAAAACTTTCTGGTAATTCAGTACATAGACAGAATCAAGGATGAAAATCACATGATCATCTGAATAGATGCAGAGAAGGCCTTTAGCATCATCCAACATCATTTTATGATGAAGGTTCTGGAGACGCTAGGAACAGGATTGTACCTCAACATAACACATGTGACAAACCTTTGGCCAGCATCATACTAAATGGTGAAAAACTGAAACTACTCCCTCAAATCAGAAATAAGATAAGAATATCCACTCTTTCTACTCCTATACAATTTCTATTCAGACCCAGCAAGGCAAGAGCAAGATATAAAAGGAATCCAAATACAGAACGTAGAAGTCAAACTAATCTGTTTTCAGATGATATAGAACAAACTAGAAGACCCAGAACCCACACAACTTCAGCCTTCCAACTTTTGACAAGGAAGCAACAACCTAGGTTGGATAAAGACAGTCTCGTCAACAAATGGTGCTGGGAAAATTGGACATCTGAATGCAGAAGGAAAACTGTGTTCCAGCCTCTCATCTGTTACAAATATCAATTCAAAGTGGATCAAAGACCTCAATGATATACACCCAGAAACTTACTCCTGGGAGTGAGGGAACACTAGAACTCATTGGCATAGGCAGCAACTTTCTGAATAGAATTCAGGGGCTCAGAAAATAGGAGAGATAGTTGATAAATGGGATCACATTCAAGTTCAAAAGCTTCTGCACAGCAAAGGATATAGTTACTAAGCTAAAAATGACAGCAAATCTTCGGTAGCTGTATATCTGAAGGATCTAGTAGCCAAAATATACATGAAGCTTAAAAGCTACCCTTCCAAAATAACCAGCTGAACTCAATAAATGGGCAAAGTAGCTAAACAGATACTTCTCAGAAGATGATGTGCAGATGGCCAATAAACACATGAAGAAGTACTCCATATTCCTGGCCATAGGGAAAATGCAAATCAAAAGAGTTATTCAAATTCCATATCACTCCAGCTAGAATGGCCATCATCAAGAATGTCAACACAAGAAATGCTGGCGAGGACGCCACCCCTGGCAACCTTAACACATGAACCTTAACATGTTGGTTAGCGGAGTGTATGTTAATGCAACCACTATGGTAATCTATATAGATATTCCTCAAAAACTATTCTTTGATCCAGAGAAAACATTCTTGGGCATTGATCCAAAAGAAATTTTAATCCTGTTGTAAAATAGGATAGAATAAGGCAACTGTATATTCATGTTCATTGAAATTCTATTCATCATAGGTAAATTATGGAAACAGCCCAGGTGCCCTACAACTACACAGGAATATCCATCAGGAATAATCATATCATTTTCAGGAAAATAGATGAATCTGGAAAAAATTATGGTGAGTGAAATAAGTAAGCCTCAGAAAGACAACAAGTGTGTGATTTATATGTGGAAGTTAGACCTAAAATATAATCATACATATACACATATATAGGACCATATGCTTATATATATGGTCAAACTTAATTATGCTATACACGTAAGTGGATTTACATAGTGTAGCCCCTTTGTACAATTAACAGATGATGAGTTCTAGGAAGATGAAACATATCTGGGTTGGGTAGGGCTTTAAGTGGGGAGCAGAGGAATGAAGAGAGGAATAGGGTACAAACAGTCACAATATTCAAGGTAAATACATGAAAATAGAACCAAGACACTGAAGGAGAAGGGCTGGATTGGGATAGATGGGAGAAGTAAATGAGAGAGTAATGCTCATCAAGAAGCAGTGGTGTACAGAAACTGACTTGTTGAACTAAAACCCTTTTGTACCAGTATTTAAAGACATTAGGTTTTTTAAAGCCTTTTTCTATAATCTTTTATTACATCTGGATGAATTCCTAAAATGTATTTATGTTGGCTACAACAATAAAGTGGGATGAAGTCAAATGTGTATATAAATATATGTAAATATATACAAACTTTTACAAGTACATATGTAGTTCATAAATGACAATAAATAAGATGAAAGTTCGTGTCAGGATCCAGCCTTGCTTTTCTCTTAACAACGTTGGTAGGGAGAGGATGGGAAGGGGAAACAAAGGAGGAGGCTACAATGCTTGATAAGAAATGTACTCATTGGGACTGGGAAGGTGGCTCAGTGGTAGAGCGCTTGCCTTGCATGCCTGAGGCCCTGGGTTTGATTCCTCAGCACCACATAAGCAAAAAGAAAAAAGCCGGAAGTGGCGCTGTGGCTCAAGTGGTAGAGCACTAGCCTTGAGCTGAAGAGCTGAGGGACGCCCAGGCCCAGAGTTCAGGCTCCACGACCAGACCCCCCCCAAAAAAAAAAAACAAATGTACTCATCTTGCCCATGTAATTGTAACCCCTCTGTACAGTATTTTCACAATAAAAATTAAAAAACAGTGTTGGTTTCATGAATACTTATTGTATTATTTACAATGACTCATTAGTTAAATAATTGAGTGATAAGGAGACAAGTGGTGACAGTCATGACCAAGGGTTATGGAAAACTAATTTAAATAGAATTATATTACCAAAATAACAAAAGCCTAACTAGTAGAGTGTTTTATTCTATTCCTATGGTATATCATTACAATCTACATAGAAAACATACTTATCAGCCAATAAAGCATTGTATATTTGAAATGGTGAAAAATTCTTACTTGATTTTTTGTTTGTATACTTCCTCAAATGTTTACTTCTGTTATGAGCACTTGGCTGTGGTTTTGTGTTTGATCCTTGCAGCCAGCTAATATCAGTTTTACCATCATCACATGTGTGCTCTGTTTCAGTATCACTAAAGAGATTCTTCTTTACATGACTTGATATCATCTATTTGAAAAGACAAAAATGCTTTATTTGAAGAAATATGTCCTACTGTATCACATGCAAAATAGATTAAGCTATCCCCAACAAGTCAAAATTTAAAAAGCATGGAAACTACTCCTTCTCTTTCCTCCCCCTGCTGAGGATTAAAGCCAGGGCCTTGTAGATGCTGCAAAAGCACTCTACCACTGAGCTATATCTCTACCCTTCACATCTCATTTCTTAGCATACTTTTCTACATGGTATTAATGACTTATCCAAGAAAGTCACTGAGATATATATAGGCACAGATGTGAGATTTGTATTTCAGTGTTAGTCTTGTTAGTTCGCAGTTAACAGCTTGGTTCTAAAAATATAACCTAAAACGGTCAAAATAAGAAGTAACACTGTCAATTTTTCTATTACTAAATTATAACAAATATTTCAAAGATGCTAGGAAAAGTCCTAATGGAAACATGGATAAACTCATAGAGTGAAAAAGCAAAACATTTTGTTCTCAAGTTCTTCAGAAATTAAAATGTTACTAATAGAAATATTGTTATGACTTACTCTTTTATCTTTTGTTCTGAGAGAAGTTTCAAGTTCATCAGGATTCCTTAAATCAGTCCTTAAGCAAAAATACATATGAATTTTAGAATACCTGTCATGTTATTGTCTCAAGACACCCTCCACTAGACAGTGAAATAAGAGTTTTCAGTCTCAAATTCTTTCAATAATTACTTATATAATCTTTAAATTTCAGTTAATTTTAAAATAAAGAGGTTGTATTTAAAGAACTAAATCACTTTAGCTTTATAGGATACATGATATTCAAATTACTGAGAATTTGCACATTAAATTTTAAAGTAACAATCACAATGGGACTAATCATGACAGCATTTTTTTTTCTGGTCATAGGGCTTGAACTCTAGGCCTGGGTGCTGTCCCTCAGCTCTTCAGCTGAAGGTTATTGCCCTACCACTTGAGCAATAACGCCACTTCTGGTTTTCTGGTGGTTAATTGTAGATAAAGAGTCTCATGGACTTTCTTGCCTGGGCTGGCTTTGAACAGTGATTCTCAGATCTCAGCCTCCTGAGTAACTTAAGATTTACAGGCATGAGCCACCAGTGCCCAGCTCACAACAACATTTTATTTACTCTTCTCATGTTAAAAATTCTCAGAAAGACAGGCCTAAGGGGAGATGAAGCTAAATTTTAATCTGAACTAATTATAATGAAAACACCTACAGTTTTATTGAATTATCCTTGGAGGTCTCTTTAGTTGCAGCTTGAAATTCTTGAATCTATGTAGTGAATCAACATTTGAAAAGAAAAAAAAAGACATCTTAATGCACAAAGTAAATGAAAACCATGGAAATAAGTACCCAGTACCTAGTTTCTATTGATAGAATCATAAAATTTAACAATAAAACTAAACTGGCTATAAGATTTTTTACTTAAGAAGAAAGCTAATACAATAAAATATATGAAAAACAGAACAAATGAGAATATTTTAAATTTGTCCTATTATAGAAAAAGTGTTTTTTGTGATAAAGTAAATCCTTCTACCCTTAGTTACCAAAGATTTGGAGAAAAAAAAAACAATTACAACAAAACTAGGTACACCTAGACTAGTTACCCTATTGATTACTTACTTTTGAAAATTTGAAATATATCTATAAGTATATGTACATCAAAAACATTCTCATAACTACACAGTAAATGCAAAATAACCACTAAAGAGTGAAATTTAAAAACCATTGGCTGCAAGCTTACTCCAAGTTTTATAACAGGTTCCTCAGCTCCACTCAAATTAAAATTGTAAACATCGTCCCTGTGAAAATGAGGACAACTATTAGCTCAATTGTAGTAAGTATATACTTCAAATGTGAAGAAATGAAAATAGTTATAAAAATTACTACTTACAATGGGCCTTCAGAAGTAACATTAACAAAAGTAGTCTTCAATTTTCGGTAACTTTTTTTCTGAACCTTTTCCAAAATATCAAAGAATAGTTTGCAGAAACAATTTAAGCTGATAGATTACTATATGTGGTAAACAAATCACGTGCAGTTAAATTTCCAAATATTTTTCAGTATGCTTTCACTAATGTTAATCTAGCATGTGTAATATTTTCTTTAGGTAGATTGAATAAAAATATACTCTTAAAGACATGAAATCACTGCCTTATAAAGATATCTATTCTCTCATGTTCATTGTAACATTCTTCATAATTTCTAAAACATGAAAACAATTGTCTGTTGACAGATATGTAAGAAATTTGTGGTATATACAACACATACATACAGGAATATTTTCTAGTTTTATAAACAGAAGACTATAGCTGGGTGCCTATGTCTCATGTCTGTCATCCTAGCTACTCAGAAGGTTGAGATCTGAGGATAGAAGTTTGAAGCCAGCCCAGGCAGGCAAGTCTATGAGACTCTTAACTCCAATGAACCACCAGAAAACCAGAAATGGCGCTGTGACTGCTAGCCCTTGAGCTTAGGGACAGTGCCCAGGCCCTGAGTTCAGGCCCCACGATCAAACAAACAAGAAGCCAAAAGGCCCTTTGTGATAATATGGATAAACCTCAAGGACATTATGCCTAAATGAACATGACAGAAAAGGGAAAACATTGCGTGATCTTGCTTATTTGTGGAATCTGCAAGAAAATGTCACATAGAAATAGAAGGTAAAATTGCGATTTCCAGAGTGGGATCAGGAGAAGGAAACAGGGAGAGGCTGGTTGAAGAATACCAAGTTGCAGATATAGAAGATGAATAAAGTCCAGAAATCTAATTTGAAATATGAGGACTATAGTTATTTAAAATGTATTATATATAGGATATTTTCTAGGAAAATAGATTTTAGATGCTCTTGCCCTTTTCCACTAAAGGGGTAATTAAATGAAATGATAGTTGTTTGAATATAGTAACCATATAATTCACCATGCAATACCATGTATAAGCCTTAAAATGTATAAATAGTAAGCATCTTCAGTTTTAAATTTATTGAAGACTTAAATACATGTACTAACAAAATAAAATAGAAGGTATTGTAAACTAAATATAAAATATTTAAATCCTTAAAATTTGCCAACATAGCTGTATATAATGTTCTTACTAGTTCTCTATGAGCTAAATTTTAGTGTCTCTAGAGTTATAAAACTAGTACATTTCTCCTTTGTTTCAGAAATTTCATTTGCTTTAGTCTCAAATATAAACTTTGAAATAACTTCAGGTTTATATAAAATCTCATGTAAAAGAGTAAAAAAATCAACTAGCATTACTAGGGGAAATATGTATAAAATTATTCAATCAAGTCATTTCGTGAGAGTAAAAGTCAAATAAAATTTAACAAATTAATAATTATTATTAAAGAAATGATTATGATATATAAATATTTTGAAAGGCAAAACAAAAACCAAAATAAAATGTTTAAATGATACCATGGAATAATGGATCAATAATCAGAAATAATCAAAGACCTATTTAGTATCCAGTAATTCAGAAACATTCAAAAAAATGTTCATTTCAATGTGTGATTCTTTCAAGTTTACTTTTGGCTATTTTATATAGAATTACTTTAATTATTCCAAAAAGTCTATCACACTATAGAATCCCTTCTCTGATCACTATCTGACTATCCTTTCCAGTGTTATTTCTGTTGTTACTGTTGGTAGTGATGGTACTGCAGCTGGAACCCAGGGCTTCATGCTTAATCTACTACTTAATCCCATGGGCCTAGCCTCAGACTCTGATTGTCCAATCTTTACCTCCCAAGTAGCTGGCATGAACCAATGTACTGTGCCTGTTGTATGTTTTGGTTTCTTAAGACAGGGTCTTTATATATATATATGTAAATATAATATATATCAGGCTGGATCTGAACTCAATATCCTCCTGCCTCAGCCTCCCAAGTATTGGGATTATAGCTATAAGCCACCACAGTGGGCTACCAGTATAATTTTAGCCTGAAGAAAACATGTTGAGGAAACCAATATTAGGTTAACAATCTAGTCTTTTAAAGGGAATAGTGAGCCATTATATATAGAGAGATATATAGATATGTCTCTATATATCTGATTAACTCACAAAGTACAGGGAACAAAGCACATTTCAGAAAAATAGCATTACCTGATTAAAGCTGTGTGTGTGTGTGTAATTTATTAAAGAAAACAATGTAGAATTAAATGTAATGAAAGGACTGGCATATAGACATACTATAGTTAAGCAGAATTTCATAAAGTCCATTGTAACAATCTAGGAATCAGACATTAGAACTGAAACTAATAGGAGTTGGCATAAACAAGAGAGAAGACAAAGAGGAATTTATAGAGGGTGAACTTCAAAACTTGATGAATTTAGTTGACACAAAAAATATTAATTAATAAAAGAAATTTTTGCCAGGCGCTGGTGGCTCATGCCTGTAATCCCAGCTATTCAGGAGGCTGAGATCTGAGGATTGTGGTTCTAAGCCAGCCCAGGCTGGAAAGACTGTGAGACTCCTATCTCCAATAAAACACCAGAAAACTGGAAGTGGCGCTGTAGCTCAAGTGGTAGAGCACTTGCCTTGAGCTGAAGAGCTGAGGGACAGCGCCCAAGCCTAGAGTTCAAGCCCCATGACCGACCAAAAAATAAAAAAATTAAAAAAATAAAAGAAAATTTTCCAGGTGCTGGTGGCGTATATCTGTAATTCTAGCTACTTAGGAAGCTGAGATCTGACAATCACTGTTTAAAGCCAGCCCAAGCAAGAAAGTCCATGAGACTCTTATCTCCAATTAACCACTCAAAAACCAGACGTGACACTGTGGCTCAAAGTGTCAGAGAGCTAGTCTTGAGCAAAAGATCTCAGAGACAGAGCCCAAGCCCCAAGTTCAAGCAGAGGAGAGAGGAGACAGGAGACAGGAGACAGGAGACAGGAGGGGAGAGGAGAGAGGAGGGAAGAGAAAGAGAGGGAGGAGAGGAGGAGAGAAGAGAGAGCGAAGAGAGAGGGGAGAAAGAAGGAGGGAGGAAAGAGAGAGAGGAGAGAGAGGGAGAGGGGGAGGAGGAGAGGGAGAAGATTGATATTTAAATTTGGGTGAGTAGTAAATTTTTTGTTTTAAACAAAATTAGTATGTCAAAAAAATCCAACTGTTAGGACAGATGGATTCACTTAGCAAAACTATGGTGATAAATACTGAATCATTAATAAAAAGTGAAAATATTAGGCTCATCTTTATATATAGCATGTTCTTTCAAAAATAGAACTTAGCAAGTTAATGGGCTGTTTGGAGTACTTGCCACTACACTTTTCTGTTGTGATAATCTATTAGCCATGTTCCAAAAACATTAAATAAAATTCCATTTTACTACCATTTTAGTGTCTGTGATTAAAAAAAACCATCAAGTAGGATTATAGGCTTAGTGAAATTAACTAAATACATACCTTATTAATACATACCTTATTAAGTTGTAGATCAGATTTGTTTGAAATCCGACTATAAAAAAGATTGACAATAAAAACCAATTATCAGAATATTTTTCATAAAAGCCATTTTACATAAGGTAAAACATACTAAATCTATATTCTATATGCTATAAAATGTGCAACCAAAAGGTGAAATCCATGGTTAGTCTGACATTTTTACAACTTCACTAATGAATCATTAATGCACTGAGAAGTGCCAAACAATTTTAGACTTGGGGTTCTTCCATGAGTCATTTTCCTTATATTATACAATAAGTTCAGAATAAATTTACACTTGAATTAACAACCAGATAGACTATAGACATTTTATAAGAAGAGTTAACTTTCAGAAGGCTTGCAAGTAAGGAATATGTAATTTTTTTTTTTTTTTGTCAGTCGTGGGGCTTGAACTCGGGGCCTGGGCGCTATCCCTCAGCTCTTCAGCTCAAGGCTAGTGCTCTACCACTTGAGCCACAGCGCCACTTCCGGCTTTTTTCTTTTTGTTTATGTGGTGCTGAGGAATCAAACCCAGGGCCTCATGCATGCAAGGCAAGCACTCTACCACTGAGCCACCTCCCCAGCCCAGGAATATGTAATTTCATACATTAAAATAATTTTCATTGGGGCTGGGAAGGTGGCTCAGTACCACATAAACAAAAAGAAAAAAGCCGGAAGTGGTGCTGTGGCTCAAGTGGTAGAGCACTAGCCTTGAGCTGAAGAGCTGAGGGACAGCGCCCAGGCCCAGAGTTCAGGCCCACGACCGGACCCCCCCCCCCAAAAAATTTTTCATTGGTACTTTACATCTCATTATGAAATATATTTAAGTATTTTTAGTTTTAGTATTACAAGTTATGATAAATACAGCCCAACGATGTCTGTTGTATTTTTATTTTTTCTCGCTATTCTTTTTTTTGATACAGGGCCTCACATTAGCTCAGACTACATTGTAGTCTTCTTGCTGTAACCTCCCAAGTGCTGGGATTATAGGTATGTGTTACTATATCCAGTTGATATGATATGGGGGTTTATTTTTGACATGTTTTAAAATGTAACTAGATGCTAGACTGCCATATTTCAAATTTAACTCTCTAAAAGTAATTAGCCACTATGTTTTCTAGTGAAAATTTACATTATTTGAATGTATATTTAAAACTAACCTTTTCCAAACTGTGTAACTGAATCATATCTGCTAGAAAAATATTCATTTGTGAAATTTATGAACATACCTGTCAACCAAAGAGTCCTTTAATTTTCTTGTAGACTTTGTATCATCTGTTGGTTTGTATCTCTTATTAATTTGGGTTATCAAAGATTCTGCTGCCTCAGTAAATCCTTTCTCTTTTGACTGTTCTCTCTGAAATAAGTCATTAATTACCTTAAAACTCTTCCACCTATCTTCCAAAGGAACAAAGGATAAAAGGGAAATAAAGAAAAATCTAGTTCTGTTACTATTTTACAAAGAGAAATATGGGGTCAGAAATAATAAGTTTGAACTTTATAATGCATTAAAAACCACAGATATGTCTTTAAGCATGGATCTGTGCAGAATACTCTGTAGAAATCTTTTTAAAGTTAGTATACATGAGAATAAAATACTTAAGGGGAAAAAGTAGCCAGATGAATGCAATTGATAAACCTGTAGCCAAGTTACTGGAGGAAGAATACCAAAAAAGATTCCAGACAGAAATTGCTAATGCCTGTAATGAAGTGATAATACTATTAACATTTTATTATCAAGTATTACTATTATTAATTGAATGAATTGTATGTCTACAAATTTAATAATCTGCATGAAATAGATTTGTTTTTAAATTTGTTTAATTTTTACTGAAAAGGTGTTGAGTAGGGGTTTACAGTTACATAAGTAAGGCAATAAGTTCATGTGTTTTTAATCATTGTTATCCCATCCCTCATTATTTCCCACTTACTCTCCCTATTTCCCTACCCCCCAATTGTAATGTTCATATCCAACATAGTTAGACGAATTTCTTGAAGGATACAACTTACTGAAACTTTGGCAAAGAAAAATAGATCATCTAAATATACACATACACACATAAATATGAAAAGTTAATTGATGCAATTTAATATATATGTTATACAAAACAAACACCAGGTCCTGATGGATTCACTGGTGTATTTAGTCAAAATTTAATGAAGAAATTATGCCTACTCTCTACAAACTTCTAGATTCTTTTAAGGTGCTTGCTTTAAGAGGATAGAAGCATGAAGTCATCATCAGTGGTTTAGGTTAGTCCAATGATGAAGTTACCACTTCTGTAATCTAAGGATCTCCTGATGAGTAGATGACTGATGGCTAGATTCAATGCAATCTTTTGGAGGATACTTCATACACAAACCATAAAAGATATTTAACCAGAATTCTGTGTTTTCAGAATCTGCTACATGATTCTTCTGCAAAAATAAATGTTTTTACTATAGTAGGATACAGAAAAAATAGACAAAATAACCACATATTAAAAAGAAAGACAAAATTTCTGAGAGATGAACAGTTTGATATGCTTCTTCAAAAAGACAGAAAGAAGCCAAGCACCAGTGGCTCACACCAATAATCCTAGCTACTCAGGAGGCTGAGATCTGAGGATGGAGGTTCAAAGCCAGCCTGGGCAGGAAACTCCGTGAGACTCTTTTCTTCAATAAACTACTCAAAAAAGCTGGAAGTGGCACTCTTGCTCAAGTGGTAGACTGCTTGCCTTGAGCAAAAGAAGGGATAGTGCCCAGACCTAGAGTTCAAGCCCCAGGACCAGCAAAAAAAAAAAAAGACGAACACAAAAAGAAGAAATAGGGTCCATTTATTCATATTTATTCTATACCTATATTTCATTTATTTTATTTATTTATTCTATACCTATTTATTCATTTATTATATACCTATTTATTTATTTATTCATTTATTCTATACCTATTTTCAGGCTTGATACATGTGAAGTACTGTTCTATCGGTGAAGAAATTACGGAGAATTGAATGAGGAGTTTAAGGGGGAACTCACACCTGGTCTCCAGGCAATTAACTACATTAAATCTGCAACAATCATTTTCCATTTTCTTAGAATATAAGTATCTTATGGATATGTAGAAATCAAAACATAATGAGAACTCACCATTGTTTTTTGTTTCAAATCCCAGGAATTAAGATCAGAAGATGGTTCTGTGCCTGATTTTATATGACTGTTTGGCCTTTTTCTAGGAGAACTTTTATTACAAACATCAGTATTCACGTCTTTTGATAATATGTACTTCTTCCTATAGATCAGAGATTCTTCAGTTGTCTTGTTTAGAAGAACTGACTTAAAAGTAGTTTCAGATTCAATGTGCCAATCACTCTGAGTAGCATTTTCAGTATCTTTCTGGTCTGAATATTTAGGATAATTTTGTTGCTGATTGTTTCTTTTGCAAACTACTGCTGCTTTGTCTGTTTTGTCAGGTTCCTCTATTTCTTTCCTGTATTTCGTCTCCACTGTTTCTTCAGAATCATCATCAGATATAGATGAAGGTGATTTTTGTTTAGAATAGTTTTTGTGAACACAAACATCTAGTGGGATAATGAGAAATTAATTCTTACAAAATGAGTAAATTAATATCTAAAAATATTTAAATAAATAAAATTAAAATTTAACTATTTATTAGACATTTGAGGAAATTATTTCCTGAACTACTATTGAATACAGATAAAACTCTCTCACCTTGATTAAATGTGTCTCTTGATAAAGTACTGGTTCTGTTGCTTTTACATAGTTTAATGGTTGTTACAGGTGTCCAACATGCCCATTTAGATTGAATTTTGTTCCCGCACATGTTTTCTAAAGCACTAGAAAATAAGTTCATTTGCTTAATTCTATAAAACATCAGTATATGCCTCTTAAGACCTTGTTATACTTTTATTTAACCAATGTTTGCTATAAACAATTTGTTAGTGGTAAAGTATGGAAATTTTTTCATGTTATGACAAATTTAAATTTATTATATAATGGATCAGATTTTAAAGCATATTAGTGCTACTACTTTGATACTACCTAAATATCGATTATACTATGAATTTTTAAAAAGTTAAAATTTTCACATTTAAAAATCTTATTCTTTTTAAGTTCCTCAAATTGAAAAAAGTATGTTGGATGACATAGAGAAAACACAGACTATTTCTGTACTATCATAGTAATACTTGAGAGATGTATAAAAGCCCTTTCTGTCAAATGTGTTCTATCTAATATTATCTACCTAAAACAACATTACTATCTACTAAATAATTTTATTTACTTTTTCATACTTACATAGGCTTATCTGTTTTTTCCACTGTCTGTGAATCAGAAAGGGTATCATGGAGTTCATCTAAATAAAACAAAAATCATAGAATTTTCATTTTTTTCATGCAACTGGAAGGTAAAATGGGGATTATTATAACTGTATTGGGATAAAGAGATTGATTTATTTTAATTCCTCTTTCTCAAACTTATTAAGAGCTATGGTTATATACTATTTCCTTATAATCTCAAAAATGTCCTTGTTTAAAGCTAAACACATTTGTTATAAATCTCTGGCATCAGTGAAAGTCAGTGAGCAAAAAGGTATTACTGAGAGTTCTCTTTCTCCCAACCCCTTATCTTTTTTAATTGACTAAAAAATACTTACTCAGGTTTTGATTTGGGAATTCAATGTCCTCATTTTCTGTTCTTTCTACGATGTTAGCAGTTTTGATATGCTATAACATAGAAAACAGGTTCAATGTAAAGTTAGATTAAGTATTATATTCAAACAGCTTTTAAAGAAGTATTAAGGGTTGAAAAAATGAGTATGCCTTCTATAAAAGTCAGATAGTGTCATATCAGATAGTGTTATATCTACTCTAGAACTCTGCCTATAACAAAATACAGGGAAATAAATTTAATTGCATACAAGGAGGCAGAAGATTCTAAAATTTTCTAATTTCATCCTTAGCCAGAATAATCATTCAATTTTTATCAATTACAATTTCTAGAACCTCTATGGCACATTTCCTATCTATCACTACTGATTTCCTAGCCTACATCTCTATACTATCATCACTGAAGTACACAGAAAAGCTAGAAATTAGGAGTATTGCTTTAAAGCATTTGGCCATTTCCCTGATAACTTTTTGTCTGCATCAAGTACCCTTGCCCCATAGCCACAGACTCATACTTATCTCAGATCAAATAAAAATTTCCATCACCTTCATAAAAAATGCTGCCTAGCTCAAAAAAATTTACTTTGTTATATCTGTCTTTTTTCTTGGTCTAGCAGATAGATCCCTATATTGTGATGGGAGCAACTATAAAAATATGCAGGCTTTCACAATGACAAAAAATTCTTCTGACACATGTAGAACAGTCTTAGGTAGAATGTCAATTATCTTACAATAGTCAGGACCATGCCACAAAACTGAAAAACAGTATTCTTATTAAGAAACACTTAACTAGAAGAATCAAACTATTACTTTAACTGTTTTTTCCAGTATCTTCACTTCTTATATCCTTTATTTTTTGCATATGCCCATTTTATTTTTTTTAATTCTTTACTTTGCTCTTTAGTTTTAACTGTAACATCAAGACTACTGGGCTTGGAGAAAACTGCATATATTTATGGACTAACGACATGATTAAACTGCCTTAAATTTATTTGGGCCTTCTATGTTGTCTAACACTTTACTTATTTTTAGATCTCTCTTTGGTCAATATCTATTCCGAATTACTTATTTGTCCATCTTCATCAACAGATTCTCAGAAGAAATTTACCATCTTCATCCAACTGGGGAACAAATACTGGATGTTTCACACCTACAACATTAGTTTATTTTTCTAAGAAACCATTTCCCTTATCCATTCCCTTTGATATCCCTTCAACTACCTGGAACAAATGTCCTTTTCCTCATTATCCATTTGACTAATCTTTTGATCCTTCAAATCTCAATTCACTGTCCCTATCTCCCTAAAAGGCCACACTGGTTCATTTTGACCATCCTGTGGGTTAGGTACCTGCCTCTTCCCTATGATACATTAACTAGTGCATATGTGTGTGTATGTGTGTATACACACACAAATATATATGATGCTATATGTAGTGATATAATTACCTCACAATTCTGTCTAATCCTTACACTAGGATTTTGATATACTTAAAGGAAAATACCATTGGATATCACATTTCTGTATTTACCATGCCTTTTTCATAACAGATATATTTTTTTACTTTGTCTTTCCTATCTTTCCTTCTTAATCTGGCATAGTTCCCTATATTGGGATGGGAGCAGCTATTAATATATGCAGGTTTTGAGCTTTACAACGTCGGTGCGGGAGGGGAGGGTGGGGGGGAAGGGGGGAGAAGGATTGGGATTGGGGGGGGAGGGGGGAGGCTGGGAAGGGATGAGAAGGGTAAACAAAGGAGGAGGCTGCAATGCTTGGTAAGAAATGTACGCATTATCTTGCCCATGTAATTGTAACCCCTCTGTACAGTATGTTCACAAATAAAATTAAATTAAATTAAAAAAATATATGCAGGTTTTACAATGACAAAGAAAAAATACATAATAAACTAAAATATAAAGAATGTGGCTCATGCCTATAGTTCTGGCTACTCAGGAGGGTGAGATCTGAGGATCATGGTTTGAAGCCAACCCAAGCAGATAAGTTTGTGAGAGTCTTCTCTCCAATTAAATCACAGAAGAAGCTCAAAGTGGCACTGTGGCTCAAGTGCTAGCCTTGAGGTAAAGGAGCTCAGGGACAGTGACCAGGCTCAAAGTTCAAGATCCAGTACTGGCAAAAATATAAATAAAGACTGACGGGAAGTCAATTTCTCCTGTCAAATGTGTGAATTAGCTCTAGTGAACAGATGTTAATGTCATTAAGTTTTATTGTAAGCACTGCTTTCAAGGACAATAATGATATACAGAAAAAAAATCTAATTTTGTAAACTAAGAAAGTATTTGAAAGTACAAATTAGCTAAGTATACATTGTAATACTATAACAACATGTTAAAACTTTATTTTAACAATACTTTCAAAGTATACTTACTTTCTCTCTATTTTTTCTTCTACATCTTCTTTCAGATGTTCTAGATTCAAGTAATAAAGCATCATCCTCTCCATTTTTGGATGTTTTCGGAACATTAACTTTTTCTGAGAAACTTAGCCTTGGCAGCTGTGGCGGCTTACTTCTTCTTCTTCGTGGTGTTACTAAAAGGAGGACAAAAGACAGGTAAATCTGTTTTTTATTTCTGTTACTGAGGTACTTTCAGGATGAGAATGCTAATTCAGATAAGAGGAGTAAGAAAGGAAGGCTTAGGATGATATGCAGCTTTATTGGCTAGATGAGTAAGTGAAAACAATGCCATATGGTAAGTAGACTGACTCAGTTTCAGACCCTGTTATGCACTAAGCAATTGCCTATTAGGCAATGAGTTTCTGAATAAAAGTTCTATATTAAATTGGCATTAACACTAAGTATTTAAAGAAAGTAGCAGACAATATATGTTTTAACCTGAACTTGTAACATGTGCCAAAATTTTAGTATAATAGTAAATTCCTGGTCTTAGGTAAGGTCTAAACATTTCACAAGATTTTTTTTGTTAAACATATTTTTTATTTCATGCTTTAAACAAATTAATGAAATAAGAATGTAAGTCCCATGTTATAATAAGACAGTGGTTCTAAATTTAGCTAGAGGATAAGCTGTGCAAAGTACAAAAATTGGAGTCAGGAATTAGTATGTACAAGAAAATTATTGATTCAATGTAATTTTTAAGCACTATATTATGCTACATCCTGTATGAATTATGACAAATCATTAATACATGGCAGCAATAATTTAAAAACTGTTTATATATCAGTGCCCACTATATCTTTCAGAAATTTGTAATGGCAAAATGATCAACTTTCTTATCTTGAATCTATCCTCTAGGTAAATTATATCCCTAACTTTTCTGATTTAAAAAATATATTTAAAATACAATACTTGTTTTAAAATCTTTAAAGATTATTAAACTTACTTGCATTGACTAATAGTACCGGACTTCTCACAGTGTATCTGTCTGTACCGGCAACAATCATTGATGCTTCAGACATTTTCCTTTTGCTAGGAGTAGTTATCTTAAGCCATGAGAAACAACCATAGTAAACATACATTCTCTATTAAAGTTAAATATTTTACAATTTCACTCATAACAATTTGCAATGACTACATACATTTCGCCTTGACTACATTAAAAAAACAATATGCAGAAATTTCTGTGTCCGAGGCTAATTTATAGGTTTTATGTTCATGTTTGGCAATAAGTAAAGTAACTAAAACAAGTACACATTGTCTTAAAGAAAGCGTGCTAGTGCACAATTTCAGGAAAAGGCCTAGAGAGATAAGAAACACGAGAATATCTTAGAACAGAAAGTAGCAATTTGGCTATAGAACACTGAAGAGAAGTCTGCAGTCTAAGAGCTCAAATTATGTACATTAGAGAAGCTCTGCCAGCCGGGCACCAGTGGCTCACGCCTATAACCCTAGCTACTCAGGAGGCTGAAATCTCAGGATCACGGTTCAAAGCCAGCCGAGACAGGAAAGTCTGTGACACTCTTATCTCCAATCTCCAATAAACCACTAGAAAACCAGAAGTAGTGCTGTGGCTCAAGCAGTAGAGTGCTCGCCTTGAGCTGAAGAGCTGAGGGATAGTGCCCAAGCCCAGAGTTCAAGCCCCACAACTGACAAAAAAAAAAAAAGCTGTGCAAGAAGAAGGTATCAGGATGTTCAGAAGGTGGAGTCTCTCAGGATTTAGAGAAAACCTGCAAAAACTGATAAGCAGAGAGACTACCTTTGATCTAGTATGAGAAGTAGAATGCCAAAAGCTGAAAAAGGAGAGGACCTTAAGAAACCAAGGTATGGAAAAGAAGGCTAAGAAATGGTTCTACTGGATACAGTCTACAAGTGGTCTTCACTTGAAGAAGAAGAAACAGAGCCTAACAATTTGCTTGCTTTCCTTGCTTTACATAAAACAGAACATTAGGGCTGGGAAGGTGGCTCAGTGGTAGAGTGCTTGCCTTGCACGCATGAGGCCCTGGATTGGATTCCTCAGCACCACATAAGCAGAAAAAGCCAGAAGTGGTGCTGTGGCTCGTGTGGTAGAGCGCTAGCCTTGAGCTGAAGAGCTGAGGCGCAGCACCCAGGCCCACAGTTCAGGCCCCACAACTAACAAAAAAACAAAACAAAACGAAAACAAAAACCCAGAACATTGTAAATTTTTTATTGTACATTATAATCAAAGTAAAGATACACTAAAATAAATGGGGGAAAATAGTAATATATTCTGTGTATCTCAATTTGGAATTCATAAATGTAAACTGTAGAATATACATTATCCTAAAGTATGCACATGCATGTATTATGATTGTTCAAAACCATTAATATATACATTCTAGTTGCTTTTTTTGTATCTCTAGCAATGACATGTTCTATGGTAGTTTCATAAGCAATTATTTTGACCATATTTACCTCGACCTGATTACTTATGCTGTCCTCTTGGCTGCTATTTTTGGTGCATTTTAGAGGGTTAACAGATTCCTTTGGGGAGTTAAATTTTTCTTTTAAACTAACAGGTTCTTCTTCAATTGGTGAGACCTGACTTTCTGGAACCAGCATCTGTTAGAAAATTTAGAAACCCTATATTAAAACTGTAAACCACAGGAAAATCTTTAAAACCATTGTATATCTTAGTAAAGCTCTTATTTCATACTTACAAATCTCAGTTCCTTCTTTCTTCTATCCCTGTACTAATTTTTTTTTTTTTTGGTCCGGTCGTGGGGCCTGAACTCTGGGCCTGAGCGCTGTCCCTCAGCTCTTCAGCTCAAGGCTAGTGCTCTACCACTTGAGCCACAGCGCCACTTCCGGCTTTTTTCTTTTTGCTTATGTGGTGCTGAGGAATCAAACCCAGGGCCTCAGGCATGCAAGGCAAGCACTCTACCACTGGGCCAACTTCCCAGCCCTCCCTGTACTAATTGTTAAAAGTCAACTCAAAACAAGTATTCACTTTTGTAGACAGTTTTGTCACAGTGGAAGGACACATACTTCTCATTTTTTTCTGCTTATGTGGCACTCAGGAATTGAACCCAGGGCTTCATGCATGCTAGGCAAGCACTCTAACATTCCTAGGCACTTCTAAGTTTTTGTGTGTGTGCTGGTCCTGGGGCTTGAATTCAGGGTCTGGAAGCTCTCTGGTCTTTTTTGCTCAAAGCTAGCTCTCTGCCACTTGAGCAGGCTCCATTTTTAGCTTTTTGGTGGTTAACTGAAAGTAAGAGTCTCACAGACCTACCTGCCTGCGCTAGTTTCTATTAATGATCCTCAGATCTCAGCCTCCTAGTAGCTTGGATTATAGGTGTAAGCCATTGGCACCCAGCTTTTACTTCTAAATTTTAAAGTTACCAACATTGTTATTTTATCAATAACTGTGGTGAAATTGTCATTAACTAATATATGTATTTTATTACAGTATCATCTATATTGAGACTACCTGTTTAATTCGCCATTCAATACCAACTTTATTATTATGATACTGTTTAATGTTAAGCCTAAACCCAATAATAAAAATCAGTAAGAAACATACCTGGGATCCACTTGCATCAAAAAGAATATGCACAGATGTTTTGGCAACTGAAATACCATGCTTCTTGGTAAATTCCTAAAATTCAATTAATTGAAAGTGGTATGATTTTCCTTATCTTTCCATTCAATGCAATTATTTTTCTACCTATCTTCCTCAGAATTGCCAAATGATCATTAATTGTTACTTTTCAGATACAAATACTCTATTTCAGAACCCTTCCTTTACTTTCTACCAACCACAGCCTCCTAAGCTTTCCATTTTGTTCTTTGAACAAAGGTTCCTCCCAAATATATCTACTGAAGCTTGTCAAAAGAACATCACCCCAAAACACCCCCTAAGTTGTCAACTGATCATTCCAGTTAAATAATAATCATCTTATAATCTTGTCAAGCATCACATCTAAATCCTATTCTTCAACTCAATGGGCTATTTCAAGACACTTCCACAATAGTGCCTTACTTTTAATCCTAAGTCTTTTTTTTTTTTGGGGGTCCGGTTGTGGGGCCTGAACTCTGGGCCTGGGCTCTGTCCTTCAGCTCTTCAGCTCAAGGCTAACGCTTTACCACTTGAGCCACAGCGCCACTTCCGGCTTTTTTCTTTTTTGCTTATGTGGTGCTGAGGAATCGAACCCAGGGCCTCAGGCATGCAAGGCAAGTGCTCTACCACTGAGCCATCTTCCCAGCCCCTAATCCTAAGTCTTAATGAATATTTTATTTCTGTAACTCATTTTCCTTAAAGTTATTTGCTTCTGAGACATCATTTCTGTAAAATAGTTATTTATCTCATCTTACTTTTTTTTTTTTTTGCTAGTTCTGAGGTTTGAACTCTGGGCCTGGGCACTGTCCCTGAGCTCCTTTTGCTCAAGACTAGCACTCTGTCACTTGAGCCACAGTACCACTTCCAGCATTTTCTGTGATTTAATTGGAAAGAAGAGTCTTACAGACTTTTCTGCCTTGGCTGGCTTCGAACCACAATCCTCAGATGTCACCCTTCTGAGTAGTTAAGAGTACAGGCATGAGCCATCGGTGCCCAGCTTCATCTTACTTTTTAAACACTTGTCTGGAATTCTTCAAATATTCTAAACAGTGGCTTCTAATTCTGTCAATTCAGATACTTTCTAGTAGGCATCTCAAAGGACATGGCTAACAAGCTAATAGATATTACACAGTATAGATTTAAAAAATCTAATATAATCATATCATTTTAAGAATTCCAAAATAGAATGACACTTAATTAAAAACAATGACACTTAACTGATAGCCACAGACTTGGTTATCAACACTATAAAAAATAGTTAATATTTAGTTTAAAAACTTACCCTATATTTGCTTGTACCAAAAACTTTTTGAGCCACATTGGTAATTTCTAGTGATATATCAAAATACAAATACAGTTCTTTTCCTTCGGTTTGACTAATTTTTACTATATTTTTCAGAATTATAGACAGTAGCTTCTTTGAGTCTTTCACTATACACAAACAAATAATATTGATTAGTTTATACCACTTCCTATGGCATCATCCAGTTAGTATAAATAAGAAAACTTCAGCTTATTAAAATTGAATCACAATTTAAAATTTTAGAACCAAACACTGTTTAATAAATTTTTGTACCATCTATGTAAAAATGTATGGGAGGGACAACTAGAATGAGATAAAGGATAGAAGCTGGCTTTCTGTGTCTTCTCTGGTGAAGTGGGTTCTCATTCACCAGAGCATGCTGTTATATAAGATTACCCTAACCACCTTAAATTCTAGCATAAGATGAGGTGCTGATGACTGATAATAAAGATAGTATGCTTATGTATGCAATAAGCACATCCAAGTACAGTGGGCATTCTGGCTGAATTTCTAAGAGTTTTCTTCTTCGTTCATCTAGCCTTTTCCTACTGGGCCTCTAATCACAATTCCAGCAAGCATTTTACAGTGATTGAGAAACTCTTAAACTTAAATGGATATTCAAAAGCTTTATATGTGAGGAGACTTATACTATTTGTAACGAATCATAAATATACAATAATACATTTTGGTACTGACAGAAGGAATGTAAAGAGATCAAAGAAACAGATACAAGCACTAAGAATTAGACATCCTTATAGAACCTACTTATAGACTTGTTTTTTCTTGTCAGTTGTGGGGCTTGAACTCTGGCCTAGGTGCTGTCCCTAAGCTCTTCAGCTCAAGGCAAGCCCTCTACCACTTGAGCCACAGCACCACTTCCGGGTTTCTAGTGGTTTGTTCGAGATAAGAGTTTCACAGACTTTCCTGTCTGGGCTGGCTTTGAACTGCGATCCTTAGATCTCAGCCTCCTGAGTAGCTAGGATTATAGGCATGAGCCACCGGCACCTGGCTTATAGATATTTTTTAAACACAGAAATCCAGTGGAAAAAGGAATGATATTTCAGTAAATAATATGGGAATCAATGCCTCTCTCTCATAAAAAAAATAATTCTGATTCCTGCATAACATCATAACCAAATATTTGTTTGTAATAGTAAGAAAAAAGGCTAAAACCACAAAGTATTTAAAGGAAAACATTCTTGTCATTTAGGGATAGACCTCTGAAATCAACATATAATAAAAAGTTGATGAAGTAAACTTCAAATTTAAAAACTTCTGTCTACCACAGATACAATTAATAAAGTGAGTAAGCATAATGTAGACTGGAAGAATATTCACAAAAGATATTTGCCAGAGTACTCTTATCCAGGATATAGGAAAACTACTAAAATCCAATAATTATAAGGGAGATCTAATACAAAAGTGTTTAAATAGATGCTTCACAAAGGGAAGATAAGTGCTGCATATTTCATATGTATATGTGCAGCACTTGTATAAAAGTGCTCAACACTGGTTATTAGGAAAATGCAAATCAAAAACTATAATGAGAAACTACCTTATAAGCACTGAAATGACTAACATGTTTAACAAATTAATTTTTAACTATGCCAGTCTGCCAAATTATATGATTTTTGTCTTATTGTTATGCAAATCCCTTAATGGAAATGGGGAGAATAGATGTTTGGATTTAATCAAGCAAATCTGATAATAATGCAAGACTGACTAATCATGGCTTTTTTTCTTTTTAAAAAGATTTTAAGTTATTATTCAAAGGAGTCACCATTTAGCAAAGGAGTTTATGAATGCAAAGCATCTTGATCAATGTCACCCCTTTTCAACATTCCCATGCATCCCTCACTTTTTTAAATTTTATGGGACACACATTGAATTCTTGACTGCATTCCCTCCCCTTCTCCTCTTCATCCCTCTACCTCTCTCTCCTTGACTCCACTCTGCCTCTTTCAAGTACCTATTTCCTGGTCTTTATTTTGTTGAACTTGACTTTGCCTTTCTAAAGAATTACACTCTTTTGACTTCTCCCTTGAATCTACCATATTTCAGCTAATACACTGTATGATCATGGCTTTTAGGTTAGCTAGGAAGGGAAAGAAATAAGTACAGGAGCATGGTGGCAGATTAAAGGGAAAATGTGAGGTGAGGAATTTAATGATTTGTGGATATCTGAAACGCTGATTTTGTTCTGACTAGTTCGTTTGTTATCCCAGAGAAGATGCAGTTTCTGTCCCTATTCCATATGGCAAGAGACAAGAAGAAAATTATAAAAGTCTAATACCTTCAATGCTGTACATTTGAACTTTTTCCTCAGGCACAGTGACTGCTTCCCATTGATGATCCTTAAATGCAAGAAAGGGCCTTGAGCATATAAGAATTTATTCCTGATTTAATACTTCTTTGGATACCAAAGTTTAAGGTGTATGAACTGTAAAAGTAACTAACATACATACAATTCTTGTTCCAGTGATTAACTATGTTACACATGTTATATTTAATCTGTTTTGTTCACTCTTTTTTGGTGTTGGTATTCGGGCTTGAACAATGGCTTTGCATTCTTGCTTGGCTTTTTCCTGCAAGGCTGGCACTCAACCATTTTTAAGCCACACCTCTACTTCTAGCTTTTTGCTGGTAATTGGAGAGAAGAGTCTCATGAACTTTCTTGTCTGGGCTGGTTTCTAACCACACTTAGATCTCAAGTCTCCTGAGTAGCTAAGATTACAGGCATGAGCTACCAACACCAGGCCCTGCTATATTTTAATCCAGCTTCCTACCATGAATATGCACCCCAGTGCTCAGTACAAATCTATCATATAATTAATGTCACAATAATTCAATATTTCAATAATTGAGTTACTTCTTATAATTACTCACTGGCTCCACTGACTTCTTTTCTCCTATTCTATGTGTAATCTACACACTAACCATACCACATATCTTTCAGTTCTTTCAGTATTCCATTTATTCATTCTTTCAAAAAGTGTGACCCTTGAATAGATATAAATAAGAAAAAGATTCCTGGTCTCATAAATATTATATTCTTTGGGATAGAAATGGACAACAAATGAAATTATTTTAAATAGTAATCACTACTATGGAGAAAATAAGAAGGGCGTTGTAGGTCATTATCTACATTATACTACATTATACTGAATGACCACAGCATACCTGTCTTAGGAGTTAATATTTGTGTTGAAACCTAATTGGAAAGGAATTAAGGTGCAAGGATCTATCTAAAGGATGTGTTCTAGACCAACAAACTAGGAAGCAGAAAATCAGAAATGGTTATGATCTTTTTGAGAAAAGGAAATAAATAAGTCTGGAGCCCAGAGAATGGTATGAAACATCAGAGAAACAGCCAGGGACAGGTCATATATGCTTATATGCTGTATTATATGCTGTATTACAAAAGAAAAGAAGATGGAACTATATGGAGAATAGTTTCTCAGGAGAGCAACAGAAAATACAGGAAAAACATACTATTGCTAAAGAAATTCAGAGGAAAGAAGTTCAAAATACATTTGGGGGAAGAAGCATTCAGGAAAATCTTGACCAGTAAATATTTGTAACAAATATTTGGAACATAATTTATAAATCCATTTTATACATTCCATATCATGAATACTACCATAATATGATTACTTATTTTCTGGTCTAAATCATCCATTAGAGTGTAATACAGGAACATCTCATTAGATTTAGAATCTAAGTAGGGAATGTCTGGTTTATGGGCCCTATAAGCCTCCCAAAATCATTTGCTACATGCCAGTACAGACACTTATATTTCTTGTTGGCTGCCCTCAGACAGTATGCTTGAATTAATAATTTTGAATGATCTGAGAATGATGTTATACATAATGAAATGAAGCCAAGTGACAGTGGCTTATGGCTGCAATCCTAGCTACTCAGGAGTCAGGGATCTGAATATTATGATTAGAAGCCAGCCCAGGTAGGAAAGTCCATAAAAGTTTCACCCCAGTTAGCAAAAAGCCAGAAGTAGAGCTATGATCAAGTGGTAGAGTGCTAGCTTTGAGCAGATAAAGCTAAGGAATGTACAGGCACGAATTTTTTTTGATAAAAGTAAATAAATGGCTGTAGGCAGAAAAAGGGGTTCCTACCCCTTTACTGGACCAAGGTGAATGAAGGCATGGAATTCATTACTATTCTGCCAAAATAAAATTATTGTTTCTAAAAGAAAATTCAGTTTCTCCTTCAAATGCCAAAGAAGAAATATGTTGATAAAAATTGTCCTTGCACCTGAGAGAAGCAGTGCTTTTCACTGGAATTCAATTTTAATTAGGCCTTTTAATAAGGTACTTTAAAATAAAAAAGAAAAATATGTGGAAATCCTAAGAAGTATTTGGCTACTGTTTACTTATAAAGAGTTTACCTGGAAAAAAAAAAAACAGGAATCGGCTAAGAAATAGATTTGTACTTTCCAACTATAAGACTTTCAACATAATATTATCAGCCATAACCAGATTGGTAAATGTTTGAGCAACTCTCACTGAGATGAATATATGCCAATGTACCAAATATAAGGTGGTAGCTATTGCTGTTAAGATATAATAGCTGTTCAAAGCCAGCCTGGGCAAGAAAGTCTGTGAAACTCTTATCTCCAATAAACCACTAGAAAACCGGAAATGGCGCTGTAGCTCAAGGGGTAGAGCACTAGCCTTGAGCTGAAGAGCTAAGGGACAGCGCTCAGGCCCAGAGTTCAAGACCTATGACCGACCAAAAAAAAAAAAAAAAAGATATAATAGCTGACGTGCTTTTTCTCAGGTAGCAAAGGTCAGTAGAAAATATGCCATCTAGGGCTGGGAAGGTGGCTCAGTGGTAGAGCGCTTGCCTTGCATGCATGAGGCCCTGGGTTCGATTCCTCAGCACCACATAAGCAAAAAGAAAAAAAAGCTAGAAGTGGCACTGTGGCTCAAGTGGTAGAGCGCGAGCCTTGAGCTGAAGAGCTGAGGGACAGCGCCCAAGCCCAGAGTTCAGGTCTCACGACTGGAGCCAAAAAATAAGAAAAAGAAAAAAGAAAATATGCCAGCTATTTGGAAAGCTTAAGCATTATTGAAATATAAGATAGGAAAAAACTGAAATTCACTTTCAAATGCAGCCACAAGAATCAATCACTCACTACTTTCAAAGACAAGTTTTTCTGAGTGAATAATACTATTTATCATCTTTGTTAGTGTTACTGTTAAATAGAGTACTTCTATGCTTAAACAACTGCAACCTTTCTACTTTCTTTTTTTTGATAGTGATAGAAATAGGTGCGGAGGGCTTTTACACATGTTCATGAAGTACTCTACCATTGAGTCACACTTCTGCAACTGATATGTTATCTTTTCTAAAGTCAATTTCATTTGTTTGGCTGAATGTGAAATTTTATTTAATAACATGTAAAATTTGTATGAAAATTTAGCATTTTTCTGTTACAATAAAACAGATATAATTTCCACTTTTACTAAGGATGGTAAGTTAACATTACAAGACCTAACATTAAAACTCATTTAAAGGATGGCTTGAAAAGTACATGTGCAAATAAATCTGCATTCTCAAAATAATTTTTAATCATAAACATAGCATAGATAAACATATAGAAAAACATAGAGGGAATAAGCTTACTTCATTATCTCCAGCAATGTAGAATGATAGAGTCTGGCTCCCAAGATTAAAATCAATCCAAAATTCCTCAAGTTTTTCATCTGCTGGTATTTGCAACTAATAAAAAAAACATACAAAACTAGTATATGCTATGCTTTGAAAAATCAAAGTGGAAAGTTATGATCAGATTATATTAATGGCCATTTTTTTAGTTTAATATCTTCCTTGGTTTTAATTTATGAGTCTAGAATCTAACTATATCCTAGAGAATTAATGTTCTATTGTAACTAGAACAACAGAAATGTATAACATTTAGATGAATTTAGAAACAAAGGGAAAGTAATTTTAATAGTTAAAACAAAAGATTAAAAGATTAAAAATAAATCTTCTAAATGCTAATAGAGGTTAGATATATTAATGTGAATACATTTGAATGATAAGTCAATAAAAGGGTTGTCTGAAGAACCTGAAGATTTGGAGTTCAGCCTTCAATATTTCAGTTTATATTTGTCCATAGCTGCATTATTTCATATCATTATCCTGGTGTCACTAACAATTACAGAATGCTAGACCATATGTATTATATGCTAATTAACTACAAGTATCTTTAATGATTTTTTAATCTGTAATCTATAATTCACTTAACTCACGTCAAAATTTATCCAATAACTAAAAGAGCATTAAATCAAAAACTTACCTCATGTTTATCAAGAAATGCAGACAAACAAGGAAATGTGAAGACCCTGAAATCCAAAATAGTTTAAGAAAAAATATTAATAAGCCTTCAAAGCATAATCTTATTCTGGTGACAGAAATTATGCCTAAAGTTTTAGGAAAATTCAGCATTGGTTATAATTTTTAATAAAACCATGTTTTCCTTGATAAGTTTTTTTTTTTTTTTTTGGTCAGTCATAGGGCCTGAACTCAGAGCCTGGGTGCTGTCCCTCAGCTCTTCAGCTCAAGGCGACCACTCTACCACTTGAGCCATAGCACCACTTCCAGCTTTTTCTGCTTATGTGGTGCTGAGGAATTGAACCCAGGGCCTCATGCATGCAAGGCATGCAAAGCAAGCACTCTACCACTGAGCCGCCTTCCCAGCTCCCGCTTGATAACTTTTTAATTATTATTTTTGAAAGGGAAGGGTTGCCTAGGCTAGCATCAAAGTAGAGATCCTCCTTTCTCAGCTGTCCAATAGCTGTTATTAGAGGCTTAAACTACCAATGTCAACAACTATGTTTTTTTAAATTTTATTTTATTGTAAAGATGCTGAACAGGGGGGTTATAGTTACATGAGTAAGGTAATGAGTACATTTCTTGTCTAACATTGTTACTCCCTCCTTTGTTTTTCTCCTACTATCCCTTCTCTCCCCTACTCCTCTACTCTACTCCCCCCCCCTGCACCCAGAAGTTGTAAAGTTCATTTCCAACATACTGTATTGTGGGTCTCATTGTTGAAATGGGTCGTCCTGTGGTCCTAGTTTTAGCATTTTGTTATTCCCCTTCCCTTCCCCAGATTAGATAAACGTATATACAAGATGCAAAGTACCAAAATCAAATAGGGTGACAATAGGGGATATACCATAGAGGGAAGAACATACAAAAGAAACAAAAAAAAAATCACATAGTACATTAAAAACAACGATGACAAAGAAAAACCTCTTGTGTCCATATCTTGGGGTTCATTTACCCAAATGATCACAAACAAGGCCATACTAAAGCTATCAGCACAATTATGTTAATCACAGCATTATTACCATAGCTAAGATATGGAACAAACCCAGATGTCCCTCAGTAGATGAATGGATCAAGAAATGGAAAGACTTGGGGAAAAAATCATATTAAGTGAAGTAAGCCTGACCCAAAGAAATATAGGTCCCATGTTTTCCCTTATTTGCAATAATTAGTATATGTCTAGGACAATCTTATCAGATGAGCAGAAAGGCTCAAGAACTGTATTCATATGACCATATAAGATGATGCTAGCCGGGTGCCTGTGGCTCATGTCTGTAATTCTAGCCACTCAGGAGGCTGAGATCTGAGGATTGCAGTTCAAAGCCAGCCTGGGCAGGAAAGTCCATGAGATTCATCTCCAATAAACCACTCAAAAACCAGAAGTGGTGCTGTGGTTCAAGCATTAGAGTGCTCGCTTTGAGCTGAAGAGCACTGGGACAGCGCCCAAGCCCAGAGTTCAAGCCCCACAACCAACAAAAAAAAAAAAAAAAAAGCTAAATGAAACAACTATGTTTTTTAAAACAAGTATTCAATGAAAATTTAGGAAAAGAAAAGCATATTACTTTGAAGATAATGCTGAACTCAACTTTGCCTAAGTAATTATATCAAGCTTTTAGTATCCTATCAACTATAGACAGAATCCTGATTTCAGGTATATATTATTAATAAAGTGGAAATGCCAATAGGATTTGCACAGAAAAAAAGAGAAGTAAATAGTTTTGCTAAACAAAAATGGGAACATTCCCAGTATGCTTTCTTGATCAGATACTATTTTAAACACTTTAGTATATCATTTCCTTTCATTGTTACAAAAATATCTAAGGTAAGTATTATTGTATTCTAACATTATAATCAAGTAAACTGACGTAAGGTTAAATAGTTTGCTCATAAATGGAAAGATGGGAATTTGTGATTCAAATCAAGACAAAAGTAAACCAAATGTAAATTCATTCTTCCATAAAAATAAAATACAAGGCATTAATTACATCATTTTTTTAACCTTCTTTTTACCAGTCCTGGGCCTTGAACTCAGGGCCTGGGTGCTGACCCTGAGGTTCTTTTGTTCAAGGCTACAACTCTACCACTTCAGTCACAGCTCCTCTTCTGACTTTTTTGGTAATTTATTGAAGCTAAGACTCTCATGGACTTTCCTGCCCAGGCTGGCTTTGAACTGCAATCCTCAGATCTCAGCCTCATGAGTAGCTAGGATTAAAGGCATAAGCCACCAGTGCACACCAGTTGTTATGTTGTTGTTTTACATTCTTAAAAAAACTCAAGAACTGGGAAGGTGGCTCAGTGGTAGAGCGCTTGCCTTGCATGCATAAGCCCCTGGGTTCAATTCCTCAGCACCACATAAGCAGAAAAAGCTGGAAGTGGTCCTGTGGCTCAAGTGGTAGAATGCTAGCCTTGAGCTGAAGAGCTGAGGGACAATGCCCAGGCCCAGAGTTCAGGCCCCACAACCGACCCCCCCCCCCAAAAAAACTCAAGTAGTTGTTGAAGGGAGGTATCATTTAGCAAAGCAGTTTATGAGTGCACTGCCTCTTGATCTATGTCCTCTTCAACAGTCTGATTCCCCTTTCCACCCATCTCTTCCCTTATATTTCTCAATTTTGATATATACAATGAATTCTTGACTATATTTCCCTACTTCAATGACTACTCCTTCCCCTTGCAAATGCCATTTCTTGGTGCTTATTTCATTTAGCTTTCTAAAAAACTGTAGTATTTGAGCTCTCCATAACTTTTATTATAATTCAGTTAATTCATTTGTAACTGCTTACATACCACCCAGCATGTTTACTTATAGATTTATAGACACATTCTGTCTACTACTAATATGAGAAGACACAAGTTAAAATCATGTATCCTTTCATGCTTGTTCCTGAGATTAAGTAATTAATATAAAAATAATATAAACATAAAATAATATAAATAGAAAAATAATAAAATAATTAAGAAAACATAAATATATTATAAATAGGATGTATAATATATAATACATACTTATATATAAATATATTGATATACTATATTTATATATAGTATACAATTATACTAATTATGTAAGTACAAATATATACTTATATATGTATATAATGTTATAAATATAACTTAAGTTATATGAAAAATAATGATGAAAATCCTACTTAAAGTATGTTAACTATAAAGGAGTATGTTTTGTTCATTATCAATTTTCATTCTCAATAGATGGAGACAGTTCAAAATTTTTCTTATATATTCTTCCTCAAACACTAAATTATAACCCATATATCATTCTTAAACATAGTAAACCAAAATGAACATTAAAGCTAATAGTGTGAATTAAATAAAATGCTGGGCTGGGAAGGTGGCTCAGTGGTAGAGTGCTTGCCTTGCATGCACAAGGCCCTGGGTTTGATTCCTCAGCACCACATAAGCAGAAAAAAAAAAAAAAAGCCAGAATTAGCACCATGGCTCAAGTCACAGAGTGCTAGCCTTGAGCTGAAGAGCTGAGAGAGCCCAGGCCCAGAGTTTAGGCCCCACAACTGACAAAAAAAATAAATAAAATAAATAAAATGCATCTTTTCCTCTAAAAAGTGAAAGTCAAAACTCCATCAGAGGATTACACTTGATACAGAATATAGTAACTTATTAATTTAGGTGAAATATTGTTTTTAAGTAATATCAAAGATCATTCTATACTCTAGCATATTAAAATAAATAAAATTCTCTACGTTCATCAATAAATGATTATGTATTGTTAAATTTACCTTCTCTTATCTCCAAGCATGCCATTTACAAGATTGAGAAATAGCCTGCAATCCTAATTTTAAAACAGAGAAAGCTTTAAAAATTCATAATTAAGCAAACATTTATTAATTTTTGTAATTTTTATACTACTTACTGTTTCAAATTCACAGTCTTTAATTCCTTTAAATGCATTAGCAATAAAATCTATTGAAAACCACTGATATGCCAATTCTTGTCTTTGTTTTTCTGTGGTCATTCTACATAAAGCTTCCACAATGCCTACCTGTAAGTCATAATCTATAAAAACAATTGTTACTGTGCAAGTTGAAATTGTGAAAATTTTATAAAAATACATTTTATATTTTACAAGTTATTAGAACAAGAAATGAATATAAATTCTTCATTATTACTAACAGAAAAGCATGCAATTTTTAAAAATTAAAGAAATTCTTTAATTCCCAAGGACACTAACACTATATTACTAGCGTTATAATCTTTGAAAATGCTTTATGCAGCAATACTTAAATAATAAAATCTCTTTTCCATTAGCATAGCATGATGTTTACAGTTACCCCCAGAATATTTTAAGCAAGGCTTTATTCTATAGGTAGATTAATACATCAAAATTTGCTCATAGAAAACTTAGGAAAGAAAATTTATGTTTTTTAGTAAGTATCTTGTTTTTAAAAGTCTATCAGTTGGTTTTTTTTTTTTGTCGGTCGTAGGGCTTGAACTCTGGGCCTGGGCACTCTCCCTGCGCTCTTCAGCTCAAGGCAAGCACTCTACCGCTTGAGCCACAGCGCCACTTCCAAAAAGTCTATTAGTTTTAAGAACATTAAATTTCCTAATTTCATAAAACATAATTTGAGGATTTTCTTACTTATTTTTCCAATATCTTGGAAAATTAACTTATTACTCATACTATTACCATTACGCAAATTTTTGAATTCCAATTAAAATAAAAATTATTTTGTCCCAAAGATACTTCTTTTCATCATTTTACTAAAGTAATTTAAAGCTTGCTTCATTATATATAAACAGTTTATAATTCTCCTAACATTATAATGCTAATAATTTATCAAAGAATATACCACTCATAAACTTTAAATAACTTCAAATCTTAAAATTATATACTTACCTCCAGCATCTATAATTCTTTCTCCCATACTACTCCTGTGAATTAAAATAACAGGTTATATGCAGGACTAGTACCCTTTAAATAGAAAGTCCATGTATTTTGGGGAAGGGTTTTTTTAAACTTTACAGTTTGCTAGTATAACTAACTTTTGGAGAAAATACACTCATAATATATCAATTTATAAAGCTTAACAGTTTTGATGATTTAATTCCAACTTAGTTTCTATGTTGCTTTCTAAAACATTCTTTAAATTCTTGACTTAAACAACTAATAAAAGTAATATCTGGCAAATTATTACATGAGAGTTGACATTTCTTGAGTAGCAAGTATTTTCCTGGTATCTCGTGGCATTTTGTCAAGCATAGCATTTATTTTTTTAAACGTCTAGAAAACAAAAGATAATGAGTTAAGTTTATTTCCATTGAAATGTTAAGTATTTAAAATAGAATCATAAACTTAAAAGTTCACTTTTTTCTTAATCACTGTATTTTATGCACAGAATGGAGTAGTGTGAAAGAAAAGACATCAAATATAAAATAGATAATACAAAAAGACATAAACCATGGATAATCAAAAGTAAAACATGCAAGCCAGGTGCCGGTGGCTCACACCTGTAATCCAAGCTACTCAGGAGGCGGAGATCTGAGGGATCATGGTTCAAAGCCAACCTGTGCAAGAAAGTCCATGAGACTTATCTCCAGTGAACCACCAGAAAACCAGAAGTGGAGCTGTGGCTCAAGTGGTAGAGTGCTATCCTTGAGCTGAAGAGCTGAGGAACAGTGCCCAGGCCCAGAGTTCAAGCCCCATACCAACAAAAAAACAAAAAAAGAAGAATATGACTCCTGTCCTTAAGACATTTATATTCTTTGCAAAATGATAACTTTATAATTATTCTAAAAGCTAAGAAATCTAAAAACTGCTACCTTTAAATTTTTGTTCGTGTGGTTATACATATATAAATATATGTACAAGAAGTAAGTTCTTTTGGCATTTTAATATTTTAGACTTCTTTGTATCTGGACAGTATAATTTATTTTCACATGAGTCATATGCATACAAAATCCACATGGCTATGAATTTTTAACCATTTTTATTAGTAGATAGTAGTTGTATAAGGGAGTTTCATAGGATCTATCTACATATTCATACATATATTCACCCCTATACCACTCTTTGCCATGAATTTTTGTTACCTCTTTTTAAAAAACTGAATTGTCCAGTTGCAAAACAAACATTATTGATCAAATTTTTAAATATTTAGAAATTATATTGTCAAGCACTGAATTTTCAGACAACAACAATAAAATTACAAGAAAGTTTAGCCCAAAGTAATTTTTTAATTTAGCCCAAAGAACTGCTATCACATTTTCTTTACCTTCTCATCTCTGAGTTTAAAAAGACAGTCAAATAAGCTTACCTCTTGCTGAATAGAAATATTCACTTTTGTGTTGGTAGCCAAGGCACAAATTCGAGTCAAAAAATTTTCCACTACTTGCTTTTTACCTGAATAAAAGTTCAATTATTGATGTTAATTTTAAATCATTTTGTCAGGAAGTCTTTTCTTATAGAAAACATTTATGAAAACTGGCCTAATTAATGTTTAATCATGTATCAAAAGTCCCTTATAAAGACCATCAACATATCTTGCTCTCATGCAGTTCTAAGTGATAATGCGCTATCTTCAAGTTAGCCCATTTTCAAAAGATGAGACTTTATCAATATAAAATGTATTCAGAGGAGTATGTCACATGCCATTTCATAATGCAAATTTTAGAAATAATGTAAAACAATAGAAACATTTCAAGTGAAAATGTACAAATTTCCCGTTGACTATCTTGAAAGAAAAACTGTACTCAGGTGAAAATATACACTGATTTACTTTAAAAAGTCAGATGGATAACTGAATTGTTGATGTTTTTAGGACCTTTTTCTCTCCTAAAATCTTAAGCACTTTGACTAGATTGCTATGTCAACTGAAAAAAATAAAATAACCAAAAATTGAGAAAGTAGCATTAAGTATAAGTTGAGTTATGTTTGTTTAACCTTTTTGGTCTAAAGGATATAATTTATAGCTTTATTCATGAATAGTTCACCACCTCAATTCCCAATCCTGGAAAAAATCTTCCTCAACCAACACAGATCTGAATGCTTTGCAGAAGACATTTGCTAGGCAAATATGAAAGGTGAATTACAATATGCTCTGTATTCTTAATTTACCACTGAAAATTTTGTTCCATTACATCAAGTATTGACAAAATGAAATATGAATTAAATCCAACTCACTGCCTATTTTTATGTTTGTATTAATCATCAGCAGGTGCTACATGGGAAAACGTTTGAATGTATTGTGTTTTATTTATGAATAGTGACAAAGGTAAGCTTCATTCATCCTCTTGAATATAACTATTGTCAGTTATATAAATTCAGAAATAGAAGCTGAACATCCTACTTTCTCTACCACTCAGGAATCTAATGGCTTGTCAATAACAATTTCTTTGTGACTCTTTCATACTTAGGGCCAATAATTAAATTTTTCTGAACAAGATCTGTCTACAATCATTACAGTAGTTAGCTTTCCAAAACTGTCTTTAACACCTAGGGTAATTAGCTGCGGAGTTGAGAATGTTGTTTAATGAGTTAAGTCCCAAATTATAAGACAAAATATTGTATTTTTACTGAATTTGCATTGCACTAGCCATTTTAATGATTAGTGTTACTAAATAGCAAGTAATAATTCTATAGTACTTCATACACTTCCTAGACTGTCAAAAGTTAAAACAAGCAGCAGATTTCAGTTCCCACACAACTTCCTAAGAAACTGTATTTCCCAAGCTCCAATTCAAGTCCAGAGGTACTTTTTGATCTTGTTAGTGCAAAGAAAGTTTCCATATCTTGGATTTCACATAGACTTCGACATTCTAAAGAACAAATATTTTTTAAACAACATAACTGAATTCAATAAATGGCTTTGAATGAATGAGGGTGCTCAATTAAAATCTTGTTCATAAACTCATATGAGTACTGGACATTGTATGAAGAGACTGTGTTCATAAACTCATATGATTACTAGGCATTATCTGTATGAAGAGACGGTGTTCATAAACTCATAGGAGTACTGGGCACTATCTATACGAAGAGACGTTTTCTAATTTGACACGCATAAATTTCATGAACATTAATAAATGAATATTTGTCATGAACTTTAAAAACAGGAAACTCTAGCTTTAAACTTTGATTAAATACAATGTTATCTCTTCATAAAAAACATTATCTTCTACATGAGTAGATCCACAAATGAAAATTTATGTATATATATTCTTTTTTTATTTTTTGGGGGGGGGGTCCAGTCATGGGGCCTGAACTCTGGGCCTGGGCGCTGTCCCTCAGCTCTTCAGCTCAAGGCTAGTGCTCTACCACTTGAGTCACAGTGCCACTTCTGGCTTTTTCTCTTTTTGCTTATGTGATGCTGAGGAATCGAACCCAGGGCCTCAGGCATACAAGGTAAGTGCTCTACCACTGAGCCACCTTCCCAGCCCCTGTATATATATTCTTAACTGCATCAATAAAACATTTTAGAAATTTGTTGTTGTTAACTACCCACATAATATGTGCATTTATCTTAGCAAACAAAATTAATAATTTTAGTGTCTTGACCTTTGCAGAAAATGTTGATTGAATTTGCTAATCAGATCCTAATATTAGGACAATAATATGGGAATTACAAAACTGTAGTAAAACAGCAAATTTTTGTTTCAACAGAAAGAAAACATTTATTTTACCTTCATCACTGATGTCATAGATGGCCTGAAAAATGAATAATATTTAATTAGTAAGATATTTATATTATAAGCCATCACAAATAGTATTAAACTGATATAGTATTTTAATTCATAATGTAATTATTTAACTTTAAATAATGTACTTATTAATGAGCTATTTAACACTAAACAATTTAAATACATTAGGGAATCTGGATAGATTAATCCAATCAAGTCACTAACCCATCTGTTAGTGATTCCTAGGGCCAAGGAATAGAATACACAAGGTTTCTGAAATAAACATAAAATATCATCAGTTCCTCAATGTGATATTTACCATCAAAAGCTCAAAGAAGTCTTCTGTCAAATTTAAAACATCTTCATCTTTTGAATTTCCTCGACTCAAAATAATCTCTTCAGATTTTTCAAACCAGGTAACCATGTAAAAAATAAATGTACATTTTATTTGCTGTGAATTCCATTTTAATAATTAAAATATGAACTGTATTTATGTAAATAGCAAGCCCAGGAAGAAACACTAAAAATAAAAATCCTAGCATTTTATCAGAAGATAATATTTTTCATTTTCAGTTTTAGGAGACAGGGACTCATCTCCAAATCCTCCTGCCTCAGCCTCCTATACTGAGATTACAGGTATGAACCACCATATTGGGTTTAAAATTCTTCCTCCCCGTTTCCTTCTTCTTCTCCTTCTCCCTCTCTCTCTCCCTCTCCCTCTCCCTCTCTGTCTCTATCTCTCTGTCTCTCTCTCCCCTGTTAACTATTTTAGTTCCAGTTAGAAGATCCTTATTTCTATCTTTAAATTCTTAGTGCAGATACATTAAATGATAAAACTAAATTATCATGAAATTTTATTGTTAAATAATAATGATATCAGAAGTTATAGTATTATTTTACCTTAATAAATCATTTAGATTTTTGAGTATATATTATGGTCCCAGGTAGTGTTTTAGATTTTGATCATTTTGAGTGAAAAATTAAAAAAACAATATCCATTATTTACAGTAAATGATATAAAAACAAATTAAAAACAATTAAACTAAATAGTGATTAAGGCAAGCTTAAATTCATATGATTACCAATGAGTTTGTATATGAGGTTTCCTGGTGATCTGTATATCTTGTTAGTTATACAAGTTATGAATGCATTTCTTCTCTAATTTCCATATAAAGTTCTTAGATTATTTTTCAACAGTGCAGATCACTTGTTATTTTAATAAAAATGTACTTTTATTATATTTCCCTCACACAAATATCATTTATATTCTGTACTTATCTTTTGAACTAGTCCTTGTTTTATCATGGTTACAAGCCCAGCTTGTCCCAATATACTGATATTTTTGCTACATCTTCCAATTGACACCAAAATGGTTGAAACATTTTCGACATCCTTTTTATTAAGTTCCTAAAATAAAAATATGCATTTAAGCTTTTGAAAACAGAAAAATACTACAAAGCAGACAATGCAGCAGCATTACACATATTTCTTTTTTCCTTTGTCGGTCATGGGTCCTGAATGCTGAGCTTGGGCACTGTCCCGAAGCTCTTTTGCTCAAGGCTGGTGCTCTAGCCCTTAAGTTTCAGTGCTACTTCAGTTTTCTGTTGGTTAATTGGATAAAAGTCTCATGGACTTTCTTGCCCAGGCAGGGCTTTAAACCAGGGTCCTTAGATCTCAGTCTCCTGACTAGCTATGATGACAGACTTAGCCATCGGTCTCGCCACCTGTATTCTAGTCGTGAAAGGCAGCAATTATCATCTCTACGTTGGAAAGGATCCGAGTGCCACTCAATGAAGGAATCTGCCCCAAACCGCCCAGCTAATCCATGACAGTGAGGACAACATCTGAGATCTACATAAAGAAAGTTGAGCGTACCAGCCCCCTTTCATTCTCAATACTTGGGTGTAGCCAACAAATCCAGTGAATTATTATTCAGTCTTTATGATACTGGGGAGTCTTGTAAGTAATCACCTTTTTTCAAGCATGAAAATACTTCAGATTTGCTAATCAAATCCAAAAACTTGCTTTTTAAAGTACTGTCACATCAAGAATACACTGATATAGGGAGAGTAACAGAGGAAGTAAGATTGGATACATTGTAAACATGTGGAAATTTTGATAATGTAATCATCCCTGTGCAACTATCATAAACTAAATAAAAGGATCAAGGGGCTGGGAAGGTGGCCTAGTTGTGGAGTGCTTGCCTTGCATGCATGAGGCCCTGGGTTCAATTCCTCAGCACCATATTAAGCAGAAAAAGCCAGAAGTGGCACTGTGGCTCAAATGATAGAGCGTTAGCCTTGAGCTTAAGAGCTCAGGGACAGCGCCCAGGCCCAGAGTTCAGGCCCCACAACCGCCAAAAAAAAAAAAGGATCAAATTGTTTTGAATCAAAACAGTATATAATTTCCCCCAGTTTATATAATACTTTACAGTGTTAGCCCTTTGTAAATAAAAATGTGTTTTCTTTAGAAAAGAATTCACTGTGTTTAGATTTCTCAAAAATAAGCAATTTCTGAGGCATGTTTAATTATAAGCAAGCTCATCCAGCCCTTCTAGTCCATTTTTTTTCTGGTAGAATACTTCTTACTTTTTCCTAGGAAATAAAATCCTACATAATAATTTTAAGAACTGTTTAGCAAAAATGAGTTCTTACCCTGCATATAAGGTCATCCAACTTGTGGAAAAACTGTTTAGTGCACTTAATCTTCACATCTTCACAAACATCAATTTGTAAAAGTGTTTTCAAAGATTTGAAATTGTTTTTTCTCAAAGCATCATCAATGTATTTTTCCAACTGCTACAAAAGCATAGTTAATAGCACATATATTGAATCAAAACCAGAATTGCAGCCAGATATGCAGATAGACAAATACAGCTTTTAAAAGTTATACCAACTAATAGCTAAACCTTACTCTTACATTTATTTATAAGCTTTACAAAATTTACTGTTCCTGATATTAAAGTAATAATTTTCAGACTACAGTTTGATCACTACACAGACTTGATGGTAAATTGTATTCACATTGAAAAGATACATTAAAACTTACTCTTTACTTAATATAAGTATCGTACAATTTTTAAATATTCTATAAAAATTCACGAATAAAACTTTAAACAATGCATAGATCTTTTCCATGTAAAAAGGTATATATAACAAATTAGCACCTTAAGTACTTTATATTCTTAATATGACTTCTGAAAACTTGTCTATTGAATAGATGAAAGGGTATTGTTATTTAAATTATGATCCTCTGGACGACTTCATAAAACATAAGCTTTTTCACTGTTAGAAATAAAGAAATGAATACTTATAAACACAAAGTAATTTTAGCAATTAAAATACTTGTTTTGGGTCTAGGAGTACATACTTGAAGATCTGGTCTGATTGGCATTTTGACTTCATTTAAAAACAGCAGGAGAAAAGAAACATCTATAAAAGAAAAAAATATGTGTCTTAAAATCAGTTCTACTCAGTTTTTTGGGGTCCGGTCATGGGACCTGAACTCTGGGCCTGGGCACTGTCCCTCAGCTCTTCAGCTCAAAGCTAGCGCTCTACCACTTGAGCCACAGCGCCACTTCTGGCTTTTTTCTTTTTGCTTATGTGATGCTGAGGAATCAAACCCAGGGCCTCAGGCATGCAAGGCTCTACCACTGAGCCACCTTCCCAGCCCCTACTCAGTTTTAAAAGCTTCACATACTACAAATAAACACTGCTTTTTATTACCAAATGGGATAAATACTATCTCTTTAAATTCTTCACTGGATATTTTTTATGCCTTTTAATCAAATTAGATAGTCAAATATATTTCTAGTTGAAAACAGAGATCATTTACTCAAGCCTCAACTTTTACAGATTTTGAAATTTAAGTCAAAAAGCCTTGCCAATTGGTCACAAAGTTAACTAGTTAAAGAATATAAACTTAAGACTTCCCTCAACAATGATACCTGCCTGCTACATGTGTTTCAGTTTGGTGAACAAGACGAAAGTAACATTTGAGTTAATTTCTGAATAAACTTTTGACTATTAATAAAATACTGTAGGAGAGAAGAATATACAAATACATTAACAAAGAACTGGATCAGTCAGAAAACAGAAATATTAAAATGAGGTAAGGACAACCTAAAGACATTTTCCATGTGCAGCAGAATATTCAGGAAGAATAGGCCTCAAGTTTCTGGCTGACTGCCCAAAATCAAGCTGAGAACAAACTTTTCCCCTTTGACGAGGGAAAATGTGTACATATTTTAAAACCTATAGGCTATATGTGGCCTGGTGGTTGAGCAATTGCTTAGACCCACAGCACAAGCAGATGGTAATTATGAGAAGAGACACTTTAATTCATTTATTGCTATGTACATAAAGATTACAAAACAGGACTAAGAATTTTGGCAGAGAACTGGAAATTGGATTGAGGGATGGAAAAAGCCCAGAAAATTTCAAAAGGAACCAAATAGTTTTAAAAGTGAGAATAGTCAATAATTATTTAGAACTGATATATAGGTTTAATAGCAAATTAAGACATGGATAAAGTGAAAATGGATGAAACACTGTATCAGAAGAAATATTCAGCATGAAGCAAAGAGATACAAAATATGTAGGTATCAAGAGGGGTACAAGAACATATATATATATTATTCAGCCTTCTGTATGTGTGACTGAATCCCAAGAGAGGAGATACAGAATAGGGCAGAAGCAATATCTTAAGAGATTATGACTGAATTTCCTTGACTCAACAAAATCCATAAACCTAAAGATTCAAAAAGCTCTACAAATCCTTGCAAAAGAGAAGAGGGGGGAGGGAGGAAAAAGAAAAGAAAACCAAGTCCAGGCACACCCTGCAAAATTGCTGAAATTAAAAAAAAAACCTAGAGTATAAAAATGAGAGATTACTTTTAAACAGCATCAGTAAGACTGACAGGTGACCAACTGAAAACAATGAAAACCAGAAAATTGGAATGACATTTTCTTTGAAGTGTTTATCAAAAAATCTGTGCACTAATTAGAACCCTATGGCCTGCAAAAAATATTTCTCAAAATTAGAGAAAAATATATTTTGAGAGAAAAAGATAAGACAAATGTTCAGTGTTTAGAATATGTCACCAATAGCCTCTAAATAAAATAAATACCTTGCCAGAAGGAAAATGGTCCTCTATGGAAGACTGTCTAGGAAGGGATAGAGTAGTTGGCACCAGAGGCTGATGTCTGTAGTCATGGCTATTCAGGGACTGAGAAACCAGACTGGGCAGGAAGGTCCATGAGGGTCTTATCTCCAATAAAGTGCCCAAAAAGCCAAAGTGGAGCTGTGGCTAAACTGGTAGAATGCTAGCCTTGAGCAAAAATGCTCAGGGACAGCATGAAGACCCTGAGTTCAAGTCCCAAGACTGGCATGTACACACACACACACACACACACAGAGTAACAAAAGCCTACATATATGTTAGTACACAAAATAATATTTTATAATGTTAACAATGTATTGCAATAGACTTGCAATACAGGGGAATAGCATATGAGACGTGGTGGTGGTAAAGTATGTTAAAGCATTCCAAGTTTGATGGCTGTCTATCAGACAGTAATAAGGGGAAAGCCAGGCACCGGTGGCTCAAGCCTGTAATCCTAGCTACTCAGGAGGATGAGATCTGAGGATCATGGTTCAAAGCCAGCCAGGGAAGGAAAGTCCATGAGACTCTTATCTCCAATAAACCGCTAGAAAACTGGAAGTGGTGCTGTGGTTCAAGCAGTAGCGTGCTCATCTTGAGCTGAAGAGCTGAGGGACAGCGCCCAAGCCCAGAGGTTCAAGCCCCACGACCGATGACAAAAAAAAAAGGGTGGGGGGAAATGTACCATTTCTGAGGTAATCAGTAAATGAGTAGTTAAAAACTGTGCAACTACTAAATGCAAGGTAATACTTTTATTTTATTAAGTCCTTAAGACTAGGAGAACAAGTTCCCAACCCAGAACAAAGAAAGCACAAAGCAAGGTGGCAGACTGGAAGTTAAACATCAGTTACAATATGGAACTACCATATACTAAATACTGTAGAAAGTTAATGTCACTTTAAAATGGGCATAATGGCTATTTGGAATTAAAGAAACTTTTAAAAATGTACAAACTCACTCTTTCATTCTGTTTCTTTTCTTTTTTTTTTTGGGGGGGGGGGTCCAGTCGTTGGGCCTTAGCTCTTCAGCTCAAGGCTAGCACTCTACCACTTGAGCAACAGCGCCACTTCCAGCTTTTTTTTTCTGCTTATGTGGTACTGAGGAATCGATCCCAGGGCCTCATGCATGCAAGACAAGCGCTGTACCACTGAGCCAACTTCCCAGCTCCATCATTGAATTTCCCATGTTAAAGATGCTCTTTATCTTTCCCCAAAGGAAAAATCTATCCCAAAAGGAAAATAACATTCTTGTCTTCAAGGACTGAAAGGTGAAGGCAAGAAAACTATGTAAACAAACCTTGTTAAGCCAATCATTATCTACCTACTTTCTTCTTTAACCATTAGCTACTTAGGTCCATGCCCTCTCTTCATTATGCATTTCAGTTTTCTAGTCTTAGTCCAATCTCAGTATGATTCTAATTGTTTCTTTGAGCTTATTTTTTCTTATGAGGGCTCCTGAGTCAGCTAAAATTTACATTAAATACTTCTGTATGTTTTTTCTCATGTCAATCTGTCTTGTCAATTTAATTCTCAGGCCTACCCAGGGGGGAAAACACCACACACACACACACACACACACACACACACACACACACACACACACACACACACACACACACACACACTAAAAGGGGAGAGGTAAACTTGTGCCCCCTCTGCAGCTCTCCAGTTAAAATTAATATGCAATCACTAGAACCCACAGAGATAACCCTCAGAATGGGAGAAAGTCTTTGTCAGCTATCCAACAGATAAAGGATTAATATCCAGAACATACAAATAACTCAAAATATTAAATAAGAATAATCCCATTCACAAATAGGTAATCAAACTGAACAGACAGTTCTCATAAGAAGAAATAAATGGCTAATATGTGAAGAAACATTCAATATCCTATGACATGAAATACAAATCAAAACGATATTAAGATTCCATCTCACTCCAATCAGAATGGCAGCCAAGAGAAACAACAAACAAATGTAAAATCACTATGGAAATCAGTAGTTTCCTCAAAAGACTAAAAATATATCTGAAGGAGAGTACGGAAAAGGGGAATGTTTAAGAGAAAAAAAGATATAGTGCAAGTATATATATATACAAACAGCATAACAATCCCAAAGAAAGCTGTTGAGCAGTGAGGGGATGGGTGTGGGGAGAGAAACTGTCAAGGGGGATACCAGTGGGAGCAGTGAGATAATGAGGATAAGGAGGCTCAGGCAGGGAGATAGATGAGTTGCATGAAAGCTGTTGACATTGTGTTGAAAAGAGGAAGAGGGCAGGGAGTGTGATTACAAAAAAATCAGGTTGTCTGATAGTTTCAACAATTAAAAAGCACACACTTTCTATTTCCATCTATGAATCCACATACTATCAAAAATAACACCTTGAAGAGATTTACCTTCAATACAAAAGTACTAAGTAAAAGGCCAGAAAAACATATCCCACATAAACATTAACCAAAAGAAAACTGGCAAATGCATATTAATATTAGATTTACCACAAAAGCCAATGTGATATAGCTAAAACTGATGGAACCAATTGGAGAATCCAGATATATATGACAAGTGACATACAACAAAGGTATAACACAAAGTAGTAATAAAACTTTACTATCACACATCAACTACCTCATATCACATTCCTATGTCATAACTAGGTGGATTAAAAATTCAAATGTGAAAGGTAAATCAGTCTTCCAGAAAATAATGTACTAGAATAACATTATGATCTCACAATAAGTATTCATTAAACATATAATAAAAAGCACCTACCATAAAGAAAATAAGTTAGATAATTAGAACTTTTGTCCAAGCCAGAAAGTAAATGTTACTTGCATATTTTATAGCTTAGAAGTACTTAGAAGTACTATCTTAGACTAGATAGATAATTCTTACTAGACAATCAACTTTTTAAAAGACCCACTTTAAAAAAACAATCTTGCGGTTGGGAATGGGCAAGGGAGTTTACTTGGCTTGTATATTTATCTTGTGACTAAAATATAATAGACGGATACACGGTATAATCAGCATTTCTAACTATAAGCTATGCAGTGGTCTCTTGTGGCTTTAAATTTTATTTCCTTAATAACTAATGATAGTAAGTAGCTTTCCATGTGATCTCCTATTATCTTATCTCATCCAATTTCCAGCCAATCTTTTGTTGAACGTTAAGTAAAGTAAAATTGGAAGAGTTCTTTATAAATCCTTGACCTGAAAGTCCACTAGGAGGGAGGAGGG